TTGATCTTCATCATGGTGTCTCGTTGAATGTCGTATTCGAATCGCTTCAGCTGCAAGTGCAAGACGTTGGGGAAGCTCTGGAAAATGACACCCTTGTTGGCATCCTGCAGCTTGAACTCGTCGCCGGCGTAGTACTGGTTCTCGCCGTCCATCTTCTCGACCTGGACGTAGTCCTTGAAACTGTCCAAAAGGTTCTTATTGCCACTGACATTGAGCTGGATGTCCCAGAAGTCCTCGACCCGGCTGGACTCGTAGTCGACGTTGACGCAGGAGATGTACGTCTTGATCTTACCACTGAACATCTGCGGGAGAACGTGCTCGGCCGGAGTACCCTTCATCTTCTCTTCCATACGCTCCATTAGCTTTCGCGACAACTCCTGAACATCCTGCTGCTCAAAAATATGTCTTGTTTCCCAGCCAAAGGACTTGGTCAGCTCGTTCGTTCCGACAGCCTGCTCAGAGGTCTGCAGTTGGTAAAAGAGACGCTGCAGAGTGTATGCACTGTTGCCCATGCTCTCTTCGTGGTCTGTGGGAATTTCGTAGATGGCCTACAGATAGTCAGCAATGGCACAGTAAACGTATAAATGGTTTTGTGACTTGACCTTTCGGAAAGCGTTGGTAAAGTACAAAGACTGAAGAAGAGAGTTTAGATAACAAGTGGCGCCTTGGTTGCGGAGGCCAACATAGCCTGTTTCCTTCTTGGAATCGTAGTTGTTGAAGTTGTGCCAAAGGACACCAGTTTCGTCTTTGACAAGGCGGAGGTAGGCCGTAATGTTGGCAGTCTCGTTCTCGCACAGTGGTCGACTGCCGCCCTCCCAGGGCACGTTGAACATCTTTCGCAGCTCGAGGAAACGAGTGAAGCCCCAGTCTGACTCCTCCTTAGTGAATCTGTGGTGCGCCGTGTGGTGGGTATAAAGAGTCGGGTCGTTCGGGTTCCATAGCACAAGCGCGAACTGCACGCAGCAGCTCCAATTCTCGGGGATGTTTGTCGGCTCAAATCCATGCTCAAGGTAAATGGAACACTGGTCAACGTTGTTGCCGTGAGGGAAGAGAAGAATGCGCCTGATGTAAGTGTAAGAGAAGGTACCGAGACAGAGCACCACAAGGGGACGGAGGTAGCGCACCATGGAAAGCCGCCCGCCTGGAATACAGGACCATGTTCCTTCTTTGACATGGAACGCCATGCTTCGACAGTCCATGTGTTGACTACGTCTTCAAGCACTTCGGGCTCTTCGTGGAGGTGTGGGAAGATGACATCCTTCATGGCATCGACTACCCCGAGTTAGCCGGTGCGGAGTCTAAAATAGGTTGGGTATGCCTACAGTCATTTGCCAGAGGCAGGTCCTGCAGCTGTTCGGCGCCATTGTCGAGGTTGTCAGGGTCGATGATGGCGATAGGCTCCTTCTCTGAGTCGGTGCCGCCGACGTACTCGTCAGTGTCCACCACCATCTCGTTCGGCGAGTGGATATCGTTGTTGTAGCTCTGGAGGAGTAGACTTGGATCAGCCAAAGAAGCGAAATGGTATTCAATACGGTAGTAGGAGAGTAGCTAGGAAGCGGTGCGGCGTGGTAGGGGTAGAAATAGATACGGCAGCAGCAGAGAGCTTGGCTGGCCTGATGGCGGGGTATCGAACGTCGCTCGAAGTCCAAGCAGTCCAAGCAGAAGCCTGGGGTGATGAAGGGGATGGGCAGTTGTGGTGGTAACGAAGCTCAGCAAAGAAGAGGTGCGAGAAAGGAAGTGGGATTGTGCAAGGGAGTAGTCGCTTTGTCTTGTAGACTCACCATGGTCTATGTGCCGCGGGATGAAGGGAAGTGCGAGAGGAGCCGATGCCGTTGCCAGTCAGGAAAGAGCAGCAGACTGGCGATTTGCGCCAGGGCTGCTTCGATGACGGAGTGGGTGCCGCAGAGGCAGGTAGGCGACAGGGCGACAAGCGATACAAGGGTTGACGGCAGGCTGCGTTATTGACCCAGGAAATGGCGGGTGCAACGAGCAATTGTTGCCTTTGGAGGATGAAGCAAGTCGTGACAAAATGTTGGTGAGGAAGAGATCTTGCATGAACAAAAGACAAGACCAGGAAGGTGGAGGCGGCGGGCTGGTCCAAGCAAGTGCGGAACCTAGAGACAGGTGCAAGGTCGGTCGGCAAGGTGAGGTGAGGTGAGGTAAGGCAAATGGAGGAGGTGCACTGTAAGGCAGATACGTACAGGCAGGTGCTGTCGCTGATAGAGTGGGCAGGCGCGCACTGGGCAAGAGGTAGCAGAAGGCACCTCAGTCAACGAATAGACACCTCAGGTAGAAGGTGCAAAGGGTCACAGTAAGCCCGCCTATATTATGTGTTTTTTTTTTCCTTTCTTTTTGATGGAAGCAATGAGATGGCCTTGCACCAGTTTCTACTGTAATTAAGATAGGTAACTCAATTTTCTAGGTTGTCATGGTGGAGAGATTGGAATAGTGTAAGAAAGGTGAGGCGCAGTGCAGCATCAAAGTCCCAGACAGGCCCTCGTGAGACCAACGGTACTAGATGCCAGGCATGCCTTATTAATGAAGTGCTCGGCTGTGAGGAGTAGGAGCAGCCAGAGGAGTGAAAGGGTACACAATCCACGTTAGGACTGAATGTTGAGACGCTGCTGTCGTCTTAACAGGTCCGGGGTCAAATTATGCCGTGGCAAGTACCTGAGACCCGCCTAGGACCTTTTCTGCCGGCCAGCTGGGAGCAAAGGTGTAGCTTGCGTGTAAGGCACTTCACCCGCTGCTCTAGTGCAGCCACTCAGTGAAGCCGCTGTCTGGCTTGCACAAGCTGCACGTACCCAGATGGCATTTGCCCCTCTGATTGGGGTAAAAGGCCCCCACACATCCAATGACGTTTCTGTGACTGCCAACAGAGCTTGCCCATTCCAGTTTCCTTTCACCCCCAGCTGTGTTTCTGAGACCTGATAATGCTGAAGTGATGCCAGCGGGTTGATCTTTCTAACATCTGATCGACTCATGTCATCTCAGCCTTGCATATCAGCCACCACTTCTTCAAACATTCAACTTGGTCAAGCAAAGCTGGACTAATGGATGGCTAAGGTAAACGTGTGGGACTCATTAGATCCCCCAAAGACACTCTCAGTAAGCAGGCAGGCTCAAGGTAGCTTAGTTTGGCAACCCCATCTCATCGCCTGGAATTTTGATCTAGAGGCCTAGCCTCACATGGGGATACGACCAATTGCTGCTACCTACCTACTTACAGAGTGGACGCTAGACAACAAATCTGTTTTCAACAAACAGCGAGTGTTCTTCCTCTGAGCATGGTATCTCAGGTCCCAGAACCTCTGAGTAGGCCATTCCTCCCCGGATCACTTTAACAAGCAACCAGCCAGCCTGTCACACATTCAATTGGATTCGCCTTCACTTACGCGGGCAGTCTGAAGAAGTGAATTCGGCCGAAGTGAGCATTGACAGCTTTTGCGTCGCTTGCCTTAGTCACTGACTGGTCGCTCAACTCATCCGATATGTGGGCATCCTAGGAGCTTGGTACTCACACTAGCTGGCCTCCCTAAAGTTTCCATGGTTGTATATATGAGCACTGCAATTGTATACATTGCACATGTAAGACTCAACCTTTCCCGTGCCATCTATGATTGCCGGAGACATTGCTCTCTATTCCATGATTTGCTTGGTTCATAGCTGTTGGAAGTTGTACTCTTTTTAGCCCTCTGCTCGAACACTCGTGCCCTGTGTTGTTGCTCTCTGATACAGTCCCTTTGTCATGCCAGGGTTGCCTGGTTCCACGTGTCAAGACGACGTGAAGGGATGCTAGAACATCAATCTTGAAGATGCCGTCGTCCTTCCCAGAACCCCTCTTGTGTAAGATCATAGAAGACGGAAATAGGTCAATATGTTCCTTAGTCGGATCCCCACTTATGCCACCGCACCCCTCCATCCGAGTGCAGCACGACTCCCGAGGCAGAGAATATCCCCGGGCCCCTTGGACCCGTTACCCGTGCATTCGCAATTGCCAACAGCGTCCAACTGGCGCAATACCTACTTCTATCCTATCAGGCTTCCTTTCAATGCCCCATAGACAGCTCTCACCGGGGAAATACTATTGAATACCACCTTGGCTATTGACACCATTTCCCACCGCATCCGCCTTTATAGTCTTCCACACCGCCAGGTTAAGTCTCGTTTCAAGGAACAAAACGTCTGACCATAAATCAGGCATGGGAGTCTTAGAACATGTGTTTGAACCCTCTGCGTTTCCGCCAGTTGAAACTTTAGTTACGGTTCGTAAGGTAAGACCGTTTGAATGAATCCACAAACTCCAGCAGCTAAGGCAAGTTCTTTGTCCGATTCTCCTTATGGGATGCATATCCACAGCACATGCTCTTCAGCGGAACTCTTCAGTATCTTCACACACCTGAGCTTTTCCCATGGCTAAAAATGCTGACCGAACATTGTCATCTGACGGAACTGGGGTCCCAACCTGGCAAAGACGGGAGGGCCAGACGGGAAGGGCACCTCTACCTGCGTAGATCAAGCTGGAGTTCGCGCACACCAGGGCCCCAAACGGCCCAGAGGGGGAGAGGGGTGTGGGTCACCAGCCCGCCGTCGGATCCAATCACGTCACGTCGTTTCTGACGCTGGAAACATGGAGGCCAGGGTTGCCCATTGCGGCAGTCCGCAGCATGGTGCGCCGATTCCGCAGTGTGGGGTTATAGTTCCAGACCCTGCAAGGTAGCAACCGCCGGCCATTCTCGATGCGAGAGTCATCCAATCTGTCGACCGGTCACGCCTCTCTCGAGACAGCTTCAACAGCTGCCCAACCCGCCTCACAACATACCTGTTGACCTCAAAATCGCTCATATACCCAACCCCCCTCAAGGGGCTTTCCACCTAAATAGCTTGTTCCCTTTCTCGCTCCTCTCGAGATCCTCCGTCCTTGCGACTCGATCCAAGTCTCCGAAAGTTTTTTTTCTTCTACTTTCGTTTCCACCTCCCACTCGTATGGAATTTACGGCATGGTGTCCATCGCATTGCGGCATGCCGGTAGACGATGCGGATTGACATCAGCCCCCAGGAGGGCAACGCTGCCTGCGCCCGGGAGGCTACGTGAGAACGGCGTCTCTTCATCGCCATGGCGTTCAATGAGCAGTTCTACTTGGAGACCGGTCTCTGTCCTAGACGAGTGCGTCCATTCCCATCCCCCCCCCCTGCACTGCCTATAGTCACATGCTAACGAACCTCTGCCAGATGGGTCGTGAGAGAGGCCCGCCCGATCAGCTTGCGCCAGCTCATGGTCTTTGGCCGCTCCCTTACCGAATCGCGACTCTTGAGCTCTGCCAACTATGTTCGAACTGAACTGCCAACTCGGTAGGGTTGCCCCCCATGTGCACTCGCGTTCATGCTTTCAAATCAGTCACAGACTAACACTCGCAACAGAATAGCACATCGCATTCGAGACATGCAACAACTGCCCTACGTCGTTGTCACGAACCCCCATATCAAAGAAGTCTACGAATTATACAATAATGCGTTCGACACCTTTCGCAAGATCAAGGAGATCAAGACCCTCGAGGACAATGAAAAATTCTGCCAAATCATCAGCGGAATGCTCAAGGCGCACCTCACCGTCATACCAAAGCTCTCCATGGGCATCTTGGAAAGCAGAGGCAGCATGGACGCCAAGGACCTTGACAAATTCATGAATACCGTTTTGCGATCTGTAAGTGCTCTTTCGAACATGGTACATACACGCCCCGCAGACACACATAGGTCTAACTTGAACGCCATGTAGAGAATATCAAGGAGAGTCATCGCGGAGCAGCACCTCGCCCTTACAGAAACCTACCACTCCCCCTGGTTCTCCCCCGGCGCAAAGCTCTCCGAGTCCGAGTTCATCGGCGAGGTCTTCATAAAGTGCATCGCAAAGGACGTCATCGAGCGCTGCACCCGCGCCGTCCAGAGCCTCGCCCGCTCCACCTATGGCCACGACGTCCAGGTCCCCGAGATCAAGGTCGAGGGACACCTCGAGTCCAGCTTCCCCTACATCCTCAGCCACCTCGAGTACATCATCGGCGAGCTCCTCCGCAACTCCGTCCAGGCCGTCATAGAGCGAAGGCAACGGAGCAGCAAAGACAACAGCAACAACAAAACCAAAGACGCAGACGATAAACCACCGCCGCCCATCGAAGTCACCATCTGCGAGGCGCAGCAGCACGTCATCATCCGCATCTCGGACCAAGGAGGCGGCATCCCGCGCGAAGAGCTCCCCTACCTCTGGTCCTTCTCAAAGGGCCCCCAGAGCCAGCGCCGCCTCGAGAACCTAGGCCGCGTGCCCAAATTGGCCGCCACCATGCAGGAGCTCCACGTCTCGGACGAGCTGGGCCGCGCCGACATGAAGACCCCCAACAGCCACACTCACGCCCACACCCACGGCAACTCCCTCGCCTCCATGACGAGCCGGCCGCCCGATCTACGGCTAGGCATGGGCCTGCCCCTGAGCCGGGTCTACGCCGAGTATTGGGCCGGCAGCCTCGAACTGCATAGTCTCGAGGGCTACGGCGTGGACGCCTTTCTTCAGATTTCCAAGCTGGGCAACAAAAACGAGCAGTTGACGACCAGGGCCACGATGGATGCAGTATAAGTGTTAGAAACGATCTCTCAAGACACGGGGTGCAAAGGCGGCGCAAATGTAACGATACCATACCGGCGACACACAATAGGACTTCCTTTTTTTTCTGGGGACAGGAGCACACACACATACACACACATCATCTACATAGGTAGCATTTTGTTACAGACACACACATGAAACAATTGGGATTATAAGGTAGACGCCTTTCTCATTAATTTTGGTATCATGAAAAGGTGAGCTGGATTACATTGTGACTAAGAAACAGTTGGGGGGATAACTAAACGGGAAAAAAGGGGGTAACAGGTTCTTGGAAAGAAGAGAGCTCCCAATGTAACGTCCATCTCATACCATACCCAGAGGGCACGTTTTGTGTTTTTCTTCCCATTTTTCGATTGGTAGTGAAGACTTGAGGCTCAAACAGGCGAATCAGCCAAATGAGTCGAGCTCATTCTGACAAGCTAGAAGCTAGCATATCCATGATGACGCGTCAAAAAGATGATGTTGCAGCGGTTTGGTGCTCTCGATCCCCGAATAGAAGAAATAAAAAGGTAAAAGTGTCGAGAATCCAGCAAGCACCAATTGCCCAGGAATAAACCGCTTAAAAATCGAGGGAGAACCCTCACGTTCGAATGCCCTTAGCGGCGACCGTGGCTGCGGACGGCGCTTCCCTGCATCTGCTCCAGTTCGGTCTCCAACTGCTTGATCTGGGCGTGGGTCTGTTCGAGATCCTTGTTGAGGCGGTCGCGCTCGGCAATGAGCTTCTGCTCCCACTGGCGGAAACGCTGCTCCTCGATCTTGACCTGCTCGGTGAAGCGCTTGCGGAGCGCCTCCTCCTCCTCCTTGAACTTGGGGTTGTCAAGCTTCCTGGGGCGGGCCTCGCCAAACTTGCGGGTCTCCATTTGCTGAGCGCGGTAGGCCTCGTAGTGAAGCTCCTCGGTGGTGTGGATGAGGTCGAGCATGTGGGTGCGGATGAGGATTGACCGCAGCTTCTTGAAGTCGCAGTGGTCCTCGTTCTCGACCTCGGCAACACCCCAAGAGTACTGGCGACCCTTGACGATGCGTCCATCGCCGGTCTTGACGTCCTTCTCGGAACCGATGACAGCGAAGGGCATCGCAGCCATCAAGCTGCGGGCGTGCTGAGCAGCGGGCTCGTCGTCCTCCTCGACGGGGGGCTGGTAGATCTTGATGCTCTGGGCCTCGATGACAGCGCGAATCTGAGGCACCAACGGTTAGTCTATCTGATTTCGACAAACAAGCCAATTCAAACTTACGCGAGCCTTGAACTTGGCCAGGTCCGCAGGGCTAAGGGTATCAGCCTTGGCGATAACCGGGATCAGGTTCACTCTCGAGCAGAGTCTCTTCATAACCTCGATGTCAAGGGGCTTCAGGGTGTGGCCGGTGGGGCGGATGAAGTACAGGCAGGTGTGGACACGGAGGTCGATCTTGTCCTGGCGGCGAGGCTGCTGCTCCTGAAGCATGTAGGACTCGTGCTGGTCGTCGAGGAACTCGATGATGGGCATCCAGGAATCGCGGTTGTTGACATAGTCGCCGAAGCCGGGGGTATCGATAACGGTCAGGCGGACTGTAAGCCGTGTTAATCGTATGATCCACATCACGGGAATTGGCAAGTCAAAGCCATACCCTTGAAGAACTTCTCCTCCAACTCAGCCTTAGTGATCTCGATCTCGACGGTCTTGTCGACCTGCTTCTGGTGACGGCGCTTGTGGTCGGCATAGTTCTTGATGGTCGTGGAGAACAGGGTGTTGATGAAAGTGGTCTTTCCAAGGCCAGATTCGCCAGCAACCTAATTACTTTGTCAGTATTCCCCGGCATAGCATACCATCATGTGTTCCGTCACATGAGAATGGACTTACCATAATAGTGAAGGCAGCACCTCGCTTGGCGACAATCTTGTGTCGCTGGTTAGGGAGGTTGGCGATACCAATCGGTGAAGCGCTCTCGGCGGCGGCGGGGGCCATTTTGGGCGGTATTTGACGATTAAACAACTCTAAACTCTTTCCTGATGCCTGTGAGAGGGTCGTTGACCGCAAGAATCGCAATTGAACGCGCGACTGTTTTCGTGATGTGGTTGCGGTGTGGGCGTGTTGACGGTTGAGTTGGGGAGGTTTGAGCTTGTGCTTCAGGGGAATCAAAAGGTGCCACCTCCAAATTTCCCTTTCGGCCTTCTGGGGTTGGGTGGTGCACACTCATTGGGCCCTTCGCAGGGGACTAATTAGGACCCCCTTTTCCTGCCAATCATTCCCCTCTTTCCCCCTGGCACTTTCACCAACAGTTTGTCTAGCCCGAAGGGGATTAGACCGCGGAAGATAGGATGAATGATTCCCCGACCCCGCCAAAAAGTTGCAGAGCGCGCCTTCAATCGATAAGAAAATCTTGGGTTGGAGAGAATTTCTGTAGCTTCAAGGTGAGGAAATGGGTGCTAATTGACAATGAAGACCGATTTCAAGGTAAATTTTGCAGGATTTCCCCCTAATTCGCATGCGATTCTGACCATTGCTTCAATTTCTAGTTTTCCAATTTGCTCGGCACGGTATACTGCCAGGGCAACCTGCTCTTCAGCCCAGATGGCACCCATTTGTTCTCGCCCGTGGGGAACAGGGTTACTGTCTTCGACCTGGTGAAGTATGTCCAGCCTCAAAAGTTGGCGCAACTCAAACATTTCCATGCTAACTTCTTGCTAGCAACAAGTCACATACACTTCCCTTTGCGCACCGGAAAAACATTTCGCGAATCGGTCTCACTCCTCGAGGAAACCTGCTACTGTCCATTGACGAAGATGGCCAGGCCATTCTGACCAACGTCCTCCGCCGAATCCCCATTTACCGATTTTCGTTCCGCTCTTCTGTCACCGCCCTCTCCTTCTCGCCTTCCGGACGGCATTTCGTTGTTGGCCTGGGCCGCAAAATCGAAGTCTGGCATGTGCCGTCTACACCAGATGCGAATGCCGAAGGAGAACTCGAGTTCGCGCCGTTTGTGAAGCACCACACCCACACACAACACTTTGACGAAGTGCGCAGCATCGAGTGGTCCAGTGACTCGCGGTTCTTCCTCAGTACCTCCAAGGACTTGACCGCGAGAATATGGAGTCTGGATCGTGAGGAGGGGTTCGTACCGACCGTACTTTCGGGACACAAGCAGGCAGTGGTGGGGGCATGGTTCTCAGAAGACCAGGAAACCATTTACACCGTCAGCAAGGACGGCGCTGTTTTCGACTGGAAGTACGTCGGAAAGCCGGTTCAGGATGAAGACGAGATGGTGGACGAGGACGAGGACGACATGCGCTGGAGAATCGTCGACAGACACTACTTCATGCAGAATAGTGCGCATGTCAGATGCGCAACCTTCCACCCCGAGTCCAATCTTCTTGTCGCCGGTTTCTCCAATGGAACTTTCGGTCTGTACGAGCTGCCCGACTTCAACATGATCCACACTCTCAACATTTCTCAAAACGACATCGACTTTGTGACGATCAACAAGAGCGGAGAGTGGTTAGCCTTTGGCGCATCAAAGTTGGGGCAACTCCTGGTGTGGGAATGGCAATCCGAGTCGTACATCCTGAAGCAGCAGGGCCACTTTGACTCCATGAACAACCTGGTCTACTCCCCCGATGGACAGCGCATCGTCACCATTGCCGATGACGGCAAGATCAAGGTTTGGGACACCGAATCTGGTTTCTGCATCGTCACCTTCACAGAGCACACAAGTGGTGTTACGGCCTGCGAGTTCTCGAAGAAGGGCAACGTTCTATTTACATCCAGTCTGGACGGCTCCGTAAGAGCTTGGGATCTCATCAGGTACAGAAACTTCCGCACATTCACGGCGCCGACAAGGCTGTCATGGTCATGTATGGCCGTTGACCCTAGCGGCGAGGTCGTCGCCGCTGGATCTCTGGACTCCTTTGATATTCATATCTGGTCCGTTCAGACGGGACAGCTTCTGGATCAGCTCACCGGTCACGAGGGTCCAGTGTCGGCCCTGGCCTTCACACCAAACGGCAACTCCCTTGTCAGTGGTAGCTGGGACCGCACCGCAAGAATTTGGTCCATCTTCAACAGGACACAAACGAGCGAGCCTTTGCAGCTGCAGGCCGATATCCTCGATATCGCCGTGCGCCCCGACTCTTTGCAACTGGCGATTTCAACGTTGGATGGTCAGCTGTCTTTCTGGTCCATCATGGATGCTGAGCAGGTGTCTGGACTGGACGGCCGTCGTGACGTTTCCGGTGGACGCAAGCTCACCGATCGGAGGACAGCCGCCAACGTGGCGGGCACAAAGAGCTTCAACACCATTCAGTACAGCACAGATGGAAGCTGCTTGCTTGCCGGTGGCAACAGCAAGTACATCTGCCTGTACTCTGTTCATACTATGGTTCTCCTGAAGAAGTACACAGTCAGTGTCAACCTGTCTCTGTCCGGAACGCAAGAGTTCCTCAACAGCAAGCTCCTGACGGAGGCCGGCCCCGGTGGTCTGATCGACGATCAGGGTGAGGCCTCGGACCCCGAGGACAGGAGGGACGACTCTCTACCGGGCTCCAAGCGCGGCGACCCTTCCGCGAGGAAGAGGATGCCAGAGGTCCGCGTCTCGGGCGTAGCATTCACACCCACCGGCACGGCCTTCTGCGCCGCCACCACGGAAGGCCTGCTCATCTACAGCCTCGACAACCTCATGCAGTTCGACCCCTTTGATCTCAACATGGAAATCACCCCCGCGTCCACGCTCGCCGTCCTGGAGAACGAAAAGGACTACCTCAAGGCCTTGGTTATGGCCTTCCGCCTCAACGAGGCCGGCCTCATCAAGCGCGTCTTCCTCTCAATACCGCACACGGACATCGCCCTGGTCGTCCAGGACATGCCCATTGTCTACGTCCCCAGGTTACTGCGCTTCGTCGCGGCCCAGACGGAGGAGACGCCGCACATTGAGTTCTGCCTGCTCTGGGTCAAGGCCCTGGTGGACAAGCATGGCGCCTGGCTCACGCAACATAGAGGCAAGGTGGACGTCGAGCTGAGAATCGTGGCGAGGGCCGTCTCAAGGATGCGCGACGAGATCAGGAGGCTCGCGGACGATAACGTGTACATGGTGGATTACCTGTTGGGTCAGGCCAGCAACGAGAAGGAGACGACCGGTGTAAAAATGCTAGACTTGGCCGCGTTCGACGCACCCGCGAAGCCTTTGGCGATTGGCGACGCGGATGAAGGCCAGAGTGATTCCGACGGAGATGAGTGGATTGGGCTAGAATAAAATCATAGATGTTATTACAAATGTATACCCCCCGTTTTGTCAAGCTGCTCTGGTCTTGCTACTGTTACACTCATGTCATCCCATGTTGTCCTACTACAACCTTGACGCCCTCCTGCCACCGTCGGCTAGTCAATCGCGAGCAGGAATATCCTAGAATCAACATTAGTAACCGATATTTTTACTGACGGTGCATATTGTTTGCTTACCTTCCACGCCTCCTCGAAGCCCGCTGAGCGGACCCATCTCGTCTCGTCATGCTCAGTGCTGTCCAACAACATGTAGGTGAGGTTGAGCCACTCCTCATCCTTGATCTTGATCCAGGGTTTGTCGCCATATTTTGCTGAAAGATCCTGGCAAATCCCAAGTGCTCTAACCACCTTGATCGTGTGGCCGTCATCTACAAAGTTATGGAATCTTGGAAGGAGGTCTGTGGAGTCCGTCAGTCACTATCATGAGTGCGTCGAAAGACGGGAATCTTACCAGTCGGCTTGGAGACCAAGTCCTTGCTCTCGTCTTTGTCCTTTGGCCTGTACGACTTAACATCGTCCAGGCGGAGCGGCGGGCAGCCACGCGCTGCGTACTGCACCAAGTCCATCCGAATCTTGTACTCCAGCATTCGCACCTTGTTCTCCGTCGAAATCCACGGCATGGAGTTGAAGCTGAGGAAGATGGGCGCCGCGTTCGTGTGGTGACTGTTCACATCATCAGCGTCTGACGTTCTTGTTGCCAGCCTATCCCAAGACGAATGAAAACATCACACTCACATCAAGAAGAAATCCCACTTTGGCTCCTTACCCGGCCGAAGAGCCGCGCCGCCAGCAACATAAAAGGCAGTATGAAACATCTCAGCCGTCCTCTCATCCAGCTCCTCGGGACGAACCTTGACCTTGCTCGCGATCCGCAGCATTTCCTCCGGCGCACGCTTCAGGATCCCGTCAAAGATCTTATTCGCGTCCTTCATCTCAGCGGCGTGAGCAAGCTTCTGGTCCCGACGAATCTCTTCAACAAGATCCGAAATCGGCGGCATCCGCTCACTAGCTGCGACCGCACGCTTCTCCGTCTCGTTGAAAAAGTCCTTGAGCTGGTTCTTGTGCACCGCGGCCTGAGCCAGCCCCTCGGCGACGATGGCGGGCTGCTCCCACTCGACGCCGTACATGAGCTGGATGATGGGGTGCAGGAAGCCCGCAAACATGCGCTGGAACATGTCGTCGGCGCGCTCGTCGCCCTTGAAGAGGTGCTCTTTCAGCGCCGCCTCCCAGCCCCCGAGCCTCTCGATCTCGCGCTGAAAGAAGAGGAGGAAGTCTGGATAGTGCTTTTCCTTGCCGAGGTACGTTTTCGCGCGCTCCCAGTCGTGCAGCTCGTCGGCGATGGAGTCGCGTGGAGTCTGGGCTGGACGCTGGTAGTCTGCGTTTTCATTGTACGCCGTCTGGATGGCGTCGGGGCCTGCGCCGGTGCCGAAGAGGGCTAGGACCTGATGAGGGATCTTGAACGATGTTAGAGATTGACTGGGAGATGATCCGAGTATTTGAGCTCACGTGGTTATGGAAACCTTCTTGATTAAAGAAGACATGATGTTTCTGTGCAATCTTAGCATATGGCTCATTCCTGTGGAAGGTACAATTTGTCCCTACCTCGAGATCCTCCTGCAGTAGTTCAGACACCTTGCTCGCGGCAGCATCTTTCTGATCAAACTTCCACAGTCCCGTGTTCGCCACCGGAACATTGATCTTGTATGCTGTCGCCATGTTGATAGCTCTGATCTGGCTGTGCGAGAAAAGGCGGTTTCCGCTGTAGGTGATGTATTTTGAGATTCTCTTGGGAATCGTGGATGGCAATCTCATTTTACAGGGAGATAGGCATCGCCATAACATCGTGCGAACGGTAAAGACCGTGACTGAACCTTAATATGTATCAAAGACAGGGGGTCTCGAACCTCTGCAAGACCCCGGGACGATACGCCGGCTTACAAATGAGGTACACGCGAAAGGGCGAGCGCGAGTGGTAAGGAATCGGAGGTGTTCCCATAGGATGGCTAGATGCGGGTAAGTCGGAGTGGTTCCCGGGCGGCGACCACGGGAGGGGGTCTGTGGTGCGCATCACCTAAACTCTACAAAGCCATTTCCCCAGACTTTTGACGTCATCACAACTTTGGGAGGAGGATTGGGTTTAGATGCCAATGCCACCTACCACATTCGTCAGACGATCGAGAACCGAACACCTAATAGTGGGCTGTAGTGTTAGTAAGTTGTGTTGTTAGTAGTCGGGAATACATCAGACAAATGACCAACAATTCCCGACAGACAAGGACGGACCGGAGAGTTGTAGACATATACCTCCGAAACTGTCCGCCGAAATCTCCACTATTCTACGGTCTTCGGTCTCCGTGATCTGCCGGCCCAGGGGGCTCATTGACCGAGACCCGAGCCATGTCTGCACTGAGCTACAAACGGACAAGCAATGGTAGCCAGATCCGTTCCAGTTGCAGGATGGGAAGTCAAGCAGCACATTGCGCCTTGGCTGGGGTCGCTTTAGTAGTGCCACTGAAGTAGTGGACTCTCGCATTAGTTCGTGAGGGAGGGTGGATGCACCTTCGGTCTCGAAGCTTGAACGCGAAGGGCGATCAGATCGTAAAAGAAATACGATTTCCTCGGCAACACGCGAAGATTCAAGCATCGTATTAAGCACTACAGCAAGTAGCCGCCCAAGGTGCTTGCTGTGTGCCTGTCCTCCAATCACCATCGGTGAGCCAGGATATCACAGTCAGACAATACGAGATGAAAAATGACATCTCGGCAAGAGCCAGGCCGAGCTGCCTATATAATTAGACTGCAGGTCCCGATGCTTTCATATTTCGTCGGTATTTGGATATCTTGCCCCACAAATGGAAACCTCGAGACTGACCCTGTCATGGAAGATCAGGTCAGGTAGGTATTCAGCCTTGTTTGCCTGGTCTTAGACGTGCTTCCGCCTGGAGATGGGCAGGCTAGGTACTTGAGCAAGGGAATACTTGAGATACCTTACCTTACATAAGGCAAAGTATGCCAAGCAAACTCGGCGGAAGGAGTAGGTGGTTTCGGTGAGAAGTGGCGAAACTCCACAATCCTTAACGACTCCCGCCCATTTCCATGATCTCCCGTCGGAAAGAGCTGCGGATCCCATTGCCCAAAGTCCGAGAGGGGAGCAAGGGGTTGATGGGATAACCTCTACCGCTAAGCTTAAGCTTAAATGACCACCCGTGCTATCGTTCATTGCAAACCTCCTCCAGCAGATCTAGCTTTCTTAACTTTAGCCCGAACTATTCGCTTGCACAGCTGCATTCCGGCAACAATATTAGAGCCGTCATCAAAAGTCTTGCGAGAACATGCGGACCGCGGCGATCGTTCCTCAGCAAAACGCAGCATTCGTCTAGCAAGCGGCGGGCTCCCAGAGGACCAGACGGCGATAGCATTCCCATGTGACATATGTCTTGCTTCTTCCTCCCTGCCGCAGCCTCGATGGCGAAGGATTCTGCCAAGGCTCACCATTACATGCAGGCTCCATGGCCAGTGGACGTAGCCAGTAGTCAATCATCCAGCGAAGAATACCCGCCGTGCCTAAGACAGCAGGCTCTACAGTCTGGTTGCACTGAGATATCGGTGGATTGTCAGACCCAGGAATAGAAATCCTGCAGACAGCGGCTGAGGCCAAGTTGCTCTTTGAGCCGATTGGCCCCCCCATCGAAGCCGCGAGGATGTGTCGCTGCTTCCCTCAGACACCCTGCTCCCCATCTTTCTAGTTCAGACTTCCGAGGACATCGCGACGCTTCTTCTCTTTCCTCGTCACAGAGACCAGGCCGGTTGTGTCCAACATCTGTCTCTACATGCGTCGTTCAGCATTCTTCTTCTTCCCTTGGTTGTTGGTTTGCGTGCGGTGCTGGAGTCCCTACGGAAGCTCAAGGCTGCTAGGACGCGATGATGCTCCGTTCTCATCCGATTTTCTGAGGGAAGCCTTCCCTTCAGGTATGTCGTACTTCTCTATAAAGCTCTCCAAACCTTGACCTTTCTCCTGACTAGAGTAGCGATCGTTATAGGTGACTATGTGTACATAGACGGCGGCGAGGTATCCCAATTGTATGACGGCAAAGTTGGCGCGCCTACCGATCACCCGTCGTGGGCAGGTAAGATTGAAGTCTACCCTGAATCTGAATGAAGACAAACTATTAACATCAACTGATTTGCAGTCAACTCTACACTCTCTATCAGTCTCAAGCGTTCATGGACCAACTCCAGCGTCACGATGACATCCACTCCCCAAAATGGGCCCAAGCTCAGTAAGCAAGCCATATGGCGCGACCCATCCTCGAACGGATTTTACGTCTGGGGCGGTACGATGGCCTACTTCGACAAATCTCCGGCAAAAGAGATGTGGCACTTTAAAGTGGACGGCAACGGGGGCGGGACCTGGTCGAAGGCCCCTCCCGCGAATACCACCGTTTTCAAACAGCTTGTGCGCTCCACAGAGACCTCTTATACCCAGAGCAAGGAAGTGGGATACTACTTTGGCGGGTTCGCGGGCTCCCGAACTGATACCTTTATCACTGATGAGGGAGAGGGAATCGCCATTCCCGGGCTAATATCATTCAACATGACTTCTGGAGAAGTAAGAAATACGTCCTCGACAAGGTTCGGCCAATATGGGACCCTGATAGAGGGTTCAGCACAGTTTTTACCGTTTGGATCTAGCGGACTGCTGCTCTTCTTATGCGGAGGACAATCACTAATCTCCTTGTCGGATTAAAAGGAGATGGACTTTGACAAGGTCACCTTGTATGATCCCAGCAGTCAGTAGACTCTCTTGGCGACGTGTCCTTCAACAAAGTACTAGCACTTACTCAGCCGACAAATGGTACACTCAACAAACCACAGGCTCCAGACCGTCAACACGAGGGAAATTCTGTGCCGTGGGTGCTTCCGGTACCAATCACACGTACGAGATGTAAGAGAAACATGTCTCATCATCTCGCTTGATCGTCATAAGTGGCGGAAACTAATGCCAGCACGTTACTCAGCTTCTTCTACGGCGGCCGTAGCATCAACAGGGACAGCATCTCTGGCGAGGTATACGTCCTTAGCTTACCTGGGTTCGTCTTCTTCAAGACAGCAGGCTCGTCTGTCCCTCGGGCAGACCACGCGTGTGTCGTCGTAGCCGGCGGAGGCCGCCAGATGCTTTCCTTGGCGGAACAGACGGGTCCCTAGGCTTCCCCAAGTCGCTGACCAACCCAGACCCCTGGAAGCTTGGGCTGGCCATCTTTGACATGACGGAGATGCGTTGGTCCGACCGGTACGATTCCCAGGCGCAATTGTACGAGTCGCCGAATGTGGTTAAGCAGTGGTACGCCCAAGGTGAACTAGACTCAGTCGTGTGGGCGAGTGAGGAGGTGAGGGCCTTATTCTCTAAGCGTAAGTCAGCTGTGTATCTAGATGTCAAGTGCCAAGAATTTGACCAAACAGCAGCGGCGCCCGACGACTCGACCTCGGATCCCTCACCTACAGGAGAACCCAACACGAGCAGCGCAACTTCGACTGCGGAAGTTTCTCAGTCATCTCAGCCGCCCATTGGTACCATCGTAGGCGCCGCCGTCGGCGGTGCTGCAGGCCTCGCCCTCGTAGTCTGTCTCGCAGTGCTCTTCCTGAAAAGGAAGAAACGATACCAGGCGGCACCGCAGCAAGAGGGCGGCAGCGGGCACTTTGAAGTCAAGGGGCCGGCCGGGACCAATGTGCCCCACGAGGTACATACCGACCACTTCAACCCCGTCGAGTTACCTGCAGAACACGGCGCTGCGGAACTTAGCTCCGCGCATGGAATGCATGAACTCGAGCAGCCAACGGCGAGGCCTTCTTTTTCAGGGCAGGACAGAGAAACACCGGCGAACAGAGAGCTGAGATCGTCTTTTGAGGTTGATATCTCTCGGCCACGGACATGAACAATAGAGAGTCACATAATGTAAGAACAGGGACAAGTCATGGAATAACAAACGAAAACTTTTTGAATTGAGAGTCCCACCCTCTTCCTCTAGGAGGGGGACTCGATCATGGTATCACCATTTTGTCTAATATTAAGAAAGTTCATCATCATATGTGTGTGTGCGTGTGTGTGTGGGGGGGGGAGGGGGGTGTTGTTGTCGTCGTCGGTGGTAGTCATCAAATTCAAGCCTTGCGCTTCTTGTTGGGGGTGGTCTCGGCGTCGCCCATCTCCTCATCCTCGTCCTCCTCGTCGTCGGACTCAAAGTCGGCATCGGACAGCTCGCCGGCCTCCTGAGCTTGGGCTATCATTGAGAGTAAGTCTCCGTCTTGTCCTTCTTCGGCAGCAGCGACGGCACCGTCGCGGAGGAACTTACTAAAGTAGTGGAGCGCCTCGGGCCACAGGTCGGTGGCGATGGCGACGGCGACGTCGTCGCCGTCGGGGAAGATCTCGAGCTCGAACTCGGTCTCGTCCTCGTCGCCCTCCTCCTCCTCCTCCTCGGCCGTCTTCTTGCCGGCCTTGCGGTCCTCGAACTCCTTGACCTCCTTGGCGAGGGCGGCGGCGCTCTCCTCGGCAGAGATGCGCTTGCCAACGTAGCCGAAGAAGGAGAAGAAGGAGACGCCGCCCATGGCGGTCTCCTCGACCTTCTTGCGGAGGGCCTCGGCCTCGGGGGTGAGCTTGCCGGGAGTGATGGGGCCCTGGTCCCAGACCTTCTTGGCGGCGGAGAGGAGACCCTCGGTCAGGTCCTTGCCGGCCTTCCACTTGATGTCGACGGGCTCGGAGACGAGGCCGGTGTAGGTGGCGGAGTGGCGGTACCAGAAGGTCTTTTCGATGACGGCGTCCTCAAAGTAGTCGTTCTCGTTGAACTCGAAGCGGATGGTGAGGGAGCGGGGATCGCCGCCGGAGCCGTTCTCGATCTCGGGGCGGGAGACGGAGATGGTCTTGAGGGAAGAAAGGAGCAGGGCGGCGTCTGAGGGCTGGATGTGCTCGTCGACCTCGGGGGGGGATTGCTCAAAGACGAGGGCCCAGAAGTTGGGGATCTTGGAGACGACGGCGGCGCGCTTCTCGTACAGAGGCTTGGAGAGCTCGTACTGCTTGCGGACTGGGGGAGAGGTGTGTTAGTTGGGTGAAGAATGAATTGAAAGGCAGGCAAGGAGATAAGAAGGAGGCGATTCCTGTATCATTTCTCTGGGAGGGTGTGAGGACTTGCGCAAACAGAATCAAAACATACCAATCTCGTTCTCAACGAGCTCGAACTCGCGCTCGAGGTCAGCGAGCTGCTCGTAGGTGACACCAGTCTCAACCATTTCAGTCATTTTGGCGGTATTGTTTGTGTGTGTGTGAGGGAGTGAGAGGATAAGTGATGAAGTGTGAGAAGGAAGTGAGAGAAAGGAGAGTCAAAGAAGGAGGGGAGAGAAATCTCAAGAAGGGTGCTATGAGATTTTTCAACTTTCTTTCGTGGCGGGGTAGTGATTACAGGAGAAAAAAAAAAGTTGGCGGGGTTGTAATTAGCCTGAGTCGCAAAAGGATTTTGTTCAGAAGCAAAGCTCAGGCGGTGGAGGGGTGGGTGGGCGGCACAAAGGGCAACGATGTCTTGGGTATTAAGTACCAAAGTGAGGTATCCAAGGCATGAGCTTGGGCTGCTTATCAAATCTTTGGTACATGCACGAATGAATCCTCTCGTATTGTTTATTTGTTATGCTCTCCTTGAATGGGGCAAAAATTCTGTTAAAAAAAAGGACTCTGTGGTTCTGAATACGTGGGGGAAAGAGGAGCGAAGGGAGGGGTGAATGGGCCACAGCAGAGAGGCACCGTAGGTCACGCCAGGAACAAACAGACTAGGGAACAGCAAATTGAAGAAATTTTTCAAACAGGTCGCCTGCCTCTCTCTCTCTCTCTCTCATCACCTTGTCACCTCTCGTATGTGCGTGCTTGTGCTCTTTGGGTTCCTGTGACGCCAGCTCTCAAGGATGGAGGACAGAAACTGCAATCTTGACTGGCTATTGCGCATTTGGGCGGCGGTGACTGATGTCATTGGATCGTGTCCCCACGTCCCTGTTGATCTCGAACTTCTTGGAAATCCCAGGCGCATCCAATTGGCGCCAGACGGAGCATTTCCAGCGGGCCCATTGGACACTTGCGTTTGCATGGTGAATTTTTTTTTTCGTTTGCTGTCAGTCCTTCTTGACTCCTTGCGATCCAAACTCGATTGGGAATGTCTACAGAGCATCGCCAAGAACTTGAGCGTACCATCAACGTGCTTACCACTAACAAAACCACATGCTACCGTAGTGTCTCCCGCTCGGCATTCTCAGATCGTTGTGTTAAGCTCCCGCTCAACGCTGAAGATTGAAAAGCTAGACCCCAATGGAAAGGGTCCTCCTCCTTCGTACCCAGTCGAAGAGCACCGTGCCTGGACCCCTAGCGGGGTCTCATCCGCAATGGGACCTCTCCGAACAACAACAACGATCTTCCATGAAACTTCACCTTCCTCATCAGCGAAAATTCAAAAAAAAAAAAAGAAGAAAACAAAACAACAACACCAGTAACCCCTCCCCCCACTCACATGGCAATTTCGAGCTGGTTGCTTCTAGATCGCCAGTTTTTCTTCACGACTATCCACATTCTGCTTTCGTGTCATCGCCCTATCCAGGCTAAGACGCGGCAATTGCCCGTGGGTATCCGCTAATCTGCTACCGTAACTGGGAAACCGCCGTGAAGCCAAATGGTTAATTCATGCGTTCCTGTTTTTCACCAGCTCTATTAGCCGCGCTATTCTGTACTGCGCGCTCTTTTGGCTTCTGTTGCTTCTGCTTCTTCTTCTTCTTCTTCTTCTTCTCTGTTCCCTTATGGAGTTATGACAAACAGCGATCCACCGGGGGTGTCTGATCTCTCTCTCTCTCGCTGCCCCTTCTTCTTCGGTTCCTCTGTTTGAGCCACTCCCTAGAAAGCCAGAGAGAATCTCTTGCTCATTTGCTAATCCATATGAGTTCTAATGGGATGGGATGGGATAGAAGTAGTGTCAAGTTCTACATCCACCTCCTTAGACTAAGATAAACGAGCATCACTACGCACAACAAACTGCACCACCTAAGATACCTGCCTGCCTTAACACTCAGCAGAAGAAAAATCCATCCAGCGAACGATATGTCACCGTAGCCGAAAAGTAAAACTTTGTCCACCCCTTACTCTCTCTAGCATCATCCCAACAGCTCCCGACCGTTGCTAGGAGACAGACGAGCAGTGACATGATAAGTCCAAGGCCCCCCCCCCCCCTCGCGAGAGAAATCCGAGATGGCCTGCCTCCACTATACCCAGTAGTACTTTCGACTAGATGTACACGTGAGAACTCGCTTTCCCGGGGTTCACCTTTTCTCAACTCGGCGCCGGGTTTACACGCTTCCGAAGAAGATGTCAAGCTTGTACTGGGGATTTCGCTTAAAAGCTTCGGAAAACGCAACCTTCATGCTCCATATCAAATACGGAGCGTTTCTCCGCTCAGCCCCGGTACGTTCGCGGAAGAAAGTGGATACCAGTCACCGGCCATCGGCCCCGAGAGAAGGGTCCACACTATACCGGGCCGGGCGGGCAGGACTCAGATAGTATACCGGTACCTTACCGCCTGTCAACCTGTCAGCCGCGGGAGTCCGTGCTTGGGGTAGGCCGTATGCGTGGTCCGTGAAGGACGACAGGTGCCCGGTATAAGTTTAACATGCCTTCGGATTCTATCTGTTGTGCGCTGATAGACATTATATCTCTGTTACATAGTTTCACATGTATTCACTAACAATGACAGTCTGAATCAGTGTGGAAACCAACCAAATGTGTCTTTTCTCCAACATGCCATAGTGCCGCGTCATCGTCTTTATTAACCGATAGGTTGACTATTATTGCTTGCGCAGTCCAAGTTTTGATCTCTTTTGTTTTTTGTTCTCTCACGCGCTCCCTCTTGTGTGATCACGGCTCCTCTGAAATGCAGCGCTATCGCTCACTTCCTTGCTTGAAACCAACGGCCTTGCCGGCCCCGGTGCTCTTCCGTCCTCATGACAATAACAACGCGTTGGTACTCCCATAAATCATCAGATCATATGACTTTTTGTCGTGGTTGTGTAGTAGGGTAGCTGAGAAGAGATCCAGAAACGGCCCAATGACCACTTGTGTCTTGCACATTGCCGGGGGTATATCCAATACAAAAATCAAACGCAAACATGACCAGCTCAACGTCCCTCCTAAAATTCGCTCGCTCAAGCCTCATCGCCCTCAAATGCTCTTCTTCTCTCGGGCAGTAGCTTACCACGTGATGTGGGTAACACGGGACCGCATGTCTGGCATGCCGGTGATAATGCCGCGAGTACCGACCTGGAGGTTAGCAAATCTAGCCCTCAGGTCAAAGTCCACCGCCCGAACCATGACGCGCTTTTCTTCGGGGACAGATCGCTTCGATTTGATCAGGCCGGGAATTGCACTATTCCTTCGATCATCCCAACGGGCATTACCACCAGGTCCCAGCGGAATGCCTTCGCCAAAGTCCACCGATCCGTGTCTTCCGTTGGCGCCGGCTTGGGAGCCACGCGCGTCGGGAGACGGTGAAGAAAAAAGCTCTTCCTCCTCAATCGTGGCAACCCACTGTCCAATTCGCGCTGTGAGCTCACTGTCCCACATGCCTTCCCGCCGCGCGCTGCTTCTCAAAAGCTGGATGGCCTGTCGCCGGATGACGGAATGCCTGCACTTGGTGGCCACCACAAACAAGGGTGGGACGATGCCCAGGTCGGCACTGAAGCTCGGCTTGATGTGGAAAGTATTGTAGTCGTGACCGCCAAAGATATCCGGGGTATGATTGTGACGGTGAGTACACTGCGAAGGGTCAGGACACCTCTTGGCTGCCGCTCGTCTCTCTTCATCGCCCACCACTTCGGAAGCAAGATCGACAATGGCCTTGAAATGGGGTTGGAAGACGTCAAACTGTGACTCGCTGTCGCTGTATGTCATGAGGAATAGGATCTGGCTCATGATTTGGAACATTTTCAGGACCGCGATGCCGGCCTTCTCTTGATGACTGACACCGGGCGCTGTGCGCGATTCGAGGAGATACTCAAATGCTTCGGACCAAGCGTCAAGTTGTCCCTTGAAGCTCATGCCATACTGTTTCAACGATTTGGGCAGAATACCCATCGGTCCATTCGCGCCTGTTGATTTTTGATACGTGAACAAGGTTTCGGTGAAGCGAAGCATCTTCTCGAGAAGCTTGTCCCAAGCGATGCGAGCCTCCATTAGGTTGAAGAATTGTTCTGGCATCGAGGATGAGCTCATGGATGACGGTGAGCTGCCGGCGTCCGAAGGGGGGGACTGGGGGAGTTCAGGGTTCTGGGGCGTAAGCCGAATCACGTATGGCTCGGGGAAGTGGAAGGCCATGTCGTACGACTTGGCTTGGATGGCCAGCCTCGTGAACATTTTGACCAGTTCTTCCTCAACAGGTTCCTCGGAGAGGGGTATGAACGATTTCCTTCTCTCGGCCCGCAGCTTCTCCAGTAAGCTGAGGCCAGTCTGGATCTGTCGAATCGCTTGGCGATGGTCCCCGACGAACGAGTCGAAGCAAGCCAACAGGACGCTTGCCATCAACAGAGTTCGATGTGACTTCTGATCACGATGGAGCTGGACGAGTGCGTTGATGGCCTCCGAGTACTGTTTGATTGCCACTTCCCAATGTCGATATGCGCCATCCATGGGGTTCATTACGTCGGATGGTGAGCCTGGCGGGGACTCGCAAGACTGTTCTAGGGTCTTGTACAGAGCCCCAAGCGCGACCACTGCGTGGCGGATGGCGGGTTCAGCGTGACATTCCTGCAGGACTGTCTGCGTCCAGAAGACGGAATCGAAATAACCAGACAATTCGTTTGCGGTGTGAGTGCGGAACAACTGGAAGTAGAGACCTTCTTGAGGTGAGAGCTGTAAGTTCCCCGCTGGGCGGTACATCGTAATGGCCGAAGGAGCGTCATTCGGGGTTTGCGGGGGAGTTAATCGACGCTGAATCTTCTGAACTCTTCTGGGAGGTAATTCGATGGATCGCGCGGGAGCAGCGTTGGTTGCAGCGGCGGCTAGGAGAGGCTTTGGAGCAATGGCGAGGACCTCGTGAGGTCTCGCGCTGCGGCTAGGAGGTGGATATCCGGTGCAAATCTTCTTGGAGCGTACACACTGCGAGCAGGAGGGTCGTTTCTCGTCGCACTTAATGCGTCGTTGTCTACGGTGAGCATGTTAGGCTCTGGTCCACGAACACGAGTACAGCAGGGTGCGTCACGTACTTGCAGTTGTTGCATCCCGTCTTGACTTTCGGTTTACTGGTTCTGGCCCTCTTGGGCTTTGCTTGGGAGTCTTCGGAGGCGGGACTGGTCGATGTGACCGAGTTCGCGTCGGCGCCGTTGTAGGACGACATCGTCGCTGTATAGAGCTGAGGTGGAATTTATGGCCGAGGCTTTGTCGCAAATGCATTCATCGCCTTGGAGTCTTTGTCGCGCACGAAGATGTCTGTCTGCCCCTTGATCCCAACAAAAGTGTTGCTGACGACGACGAAGTTGAGAAGCTGAACCACCACAAAAAAAAGTGTCTGGCCGGAATGCAGGGGATTCGGGAGCTCTTTAGGGTAGAAGGGGGACCGGGGCGCGGAGATAGTAACTAAGGCAAGCTAAGGGTCGGCGCGATGACGGGTGGTCTGTGAACTCGGCGGTTAGACAGGGTAAGCCTAGTGTAGAATCGACCAGGACGGGGAACGGGTCCGGCGGAGGGGCGATCTGCTGAGGGACGGGGTCTATCCCTCGGTTCGAGCTCTAGGCTCTCGCACTTACATGACTAAAGGAGTTGTAAAAAGGCGCCAAGAAGAAAAGAGTCCAAGTCGAGGGGGGCAGGCCGCAGTACTTTGTAAGAGTAGGGAGGTATTCGTAGGGGAGGGTGAGGTGGGAGAAGCAAAGATAAGGTGACAAGACTGAGGAGGAGAGGCACAACGGTTGTTGCTTAGACCTCTCTTTGAATGTCGATCGAAAGCAAAGAAGGGCAATGACGAGTAGTTGTGTCTCGACTGGGGTGATATAATAGTTTGCTTTCTCGGCTTGCTGATCAGATGCGCAATGACAGAGTGTTTGGGCAGCTCTCAGCCTTCACAGCGGGAAGGAGTTTGGGGGCCGCGAGTCACGGGCGACGGAGGATAGAGTAATATAGGGCTGGCGGATGGCGTGTGGGCGCGGACGTGGGCATCCGTAGCTAGTGTTGTGACGCTACAAGCCACTCGATGTGAATGGAGCAACAGATCAGTAGCTTGGACCACAGGGACCAGGGGAGAGGGGGATCCGAGTAGGGGAGACCGAGATCCACGGTGGGAGGGGGGAGGGACCTGGAGAGGGCCTGGAGGGATAGGTAGACTACTCCGTAGAGGGTGAGAGGAAGAGGAAAAGCCAAGCAATGAGACAAGTCGTGATGTGGAGGCCTGTGAAGCTAGAGGTGTCTTGCAACGAACAGCAGACGCAGACCCGGACCGGGATCTTGTTCGATGGTGGTGTGGTGTCGTGCCGTGGTGATGGGCAGAGAGGAGACGCTGACAGTCTTTTGGGTAGGCACTGGTGGAGGGATACGTTGCTGCGCTATGCTGCACCGCATGCAGGACCTCCGACGTCGATTTGGCATGTACCGGGGGGAGGGAGGGCTGACGTGGGGAGACGGTTATCAGAATCCGGGTTGCTGACGGTGAGCCAACAGTAGTAGGCGAGAATTTGGCGATACTTGCGATATTGGAAGAAGATGGTGGTGTAGGTAGACTAGTGATGTCGATGTAGATGTCAAGCTTCGAGTCTGATGACGGGCAGAACCAAAAGAAGCAGGGGTGAATATCGAAAGTCGGCAAGATGGTCAGAGAAATGTCCAGTGAACACTTGGTTGGAGGAGAGCGAGGATCAGGTCCAGACCAGGCCAGGGCGGGTGTGCTGGGATGAGAAGAAAGCAATTGTGCAGCAGATGCAGCAGAACGATCAGGAAGCCCAGATGCCGAAGAACAATCAGTCGAGACCAAAGCAAATGAAAGCGACCAAAAGCCAGACTTGGCCAAGAGCAGAAGAAGAAGAAGGGAGGATGAGGAGAACTCTGGGCTCTGGGCTCTAGGCTCTCGACTGGGGGGGGGGGAGTAGGCGAAAGATGAACGAATGAGGTTGGGCTAACGGGGTTGGGAGTGGGGGATCGGAGTTGGCTAGTCCCCTAGCTCAAGCTGAGGAAGAGAAAAGAAAAGTTATCCGCAGATGGTGGGGTGGTGGAGGAGAGAGGTGAGGGTTGAGAGGGTGGAGGGAGAAGAAGACGTAGTAGTAGAAGAAGAAGAAGAAGAAGAAGGAGGAGGAAGAGGAGGAGCAGGAGAAGGAGAAAAAGACGGAGAGGAAGAAAGACGACGAAGAGGGGATTGAGCCATCCACGGCCTTGGAATCGTTACTGCTTTCCACCTCAATTGTGTGTATCCGCACGAAGCATTGGACAAAGTACTCTGCCAGCTAAGTAGGTGAGCGAGAGAGAGAGACCTGGAGAGAAAGGGACAAGGGGGAGTACGAATACCAGAACGAAGCAAACATTCATTGTACAAGCAACATTGAACCCCTCCAGGGCAGGCGAGACAAGGCGTCTGGGTCGCCGCACCTGTTGCCCATATACGCTACCTTAGACTTGTACCGCGCGTTATCCCAAACCAGAGTCAGTAAGGCTCGCCGTGATGAATCAGACTTTTTATGAATATCTGCTCTCCGTACTTCGTCCTCAACATGGAAAATGAATTAGGTGGGCAGAAGAGAGGGCAGGAAGTTTACTTCTTGGGGTACCAGACGTTGTCCATCTACCCAAGGTAAGGTACTTGGGTACCAGGTAAGAAAGGTAATCTGACTGACAGCGCAGGAATTCTGTTTTACTGGACAGGAAATGCGCACAAGAAAAAGAACTCGACGTCTCACAAGCATGGCTCTTCTTGCCTGCCGTACTCCGTACACGGTATGAAATTAGGAATACCTACATTTCTCGGTGCAACACGAAAGATCTTGCCTTCCTTCGTCCACACTCGTTGGCCCGTTGCGCAGTCTCCTTCAGTCTCCCGTCCTTCAGATCAAAGAGACGAGAAAAAGACGAACGACTCCTGCGTAACTGAGTACGTACCGCGGTACCTGTTGGCGTCGGCGAAGTACATGTGAGACAGGGGTCGAGTACCTGGCCCGTCCATGTTAGTCCCCGGCTCGTCGAGGAACTTACCCCAATTGGTAACTGGGTCTTTCCGCTCTCGTCCTTGTACCCTGCCTTTGTGTGCAATGGTCTGAAGAACCGTTCGAGGCACCTTGCAATGAGCTCAAGAGTCTTGACTTCTGAGTCCTTTCAACGAAGCGAAACGAAACGTGGGAGTATGCAGAAGCAAGGATACTTATCTCATAAACTAATAGAAAAAGAGTGAGAGTAGGCGGCAAATGTTCTTGAGCGATACTTACTAGGTACTCATCCAAAGAGCAGGGGCAAGTGAGGAAAGAGTCAAAGTGGACAACGTTGGTGGTATGCTCAATATGTCCGGGTACGCCTGTCGCCGTTCCTTCATCGCCCAAAAGTAAGTATGTAGGCACACAGTAACTTCTTCCTATCCAGATCTCCATCTTCTCATCCCCACTCCTTCCCTCTTCCGACCTCTCTCGGATGTTGGACGTAACCTCCACGTCCTTCATTCCATTGCTCATTCCCATGTTCTCATCTCATCCCAACCTCTCACCCTCTCCAAACGCCGACGGGGTTTATCATCACTACCATATTCCTCCTCCCTCCCCCCGCAGCTTTAGTCTCGGCGAAGCCTTCCATCATGCTTCCATGCCCCTTGAACGATGACACCAACGACTTGTTGGTCCACCTGCATTACGGATTCAAAGTTGTTGTTTCTTTGTGGCTGTGCTGTTTGTTTCGCTTCTGTTGGCCCTGGTGGTGGGCGGCTAAGCCCTGCAGGCGAACAGGCAGGTCATCATCGCCAATTCGCAGGTTTGCTCCCACCCACTGGGCCAGTCACCCTCCAGAATCCATGAACACAAGATTGGAAGAGAGAACGGCAAGGGGAGCAAGGCGAGGACATGGATGATGGTGGGTTCCCCGCGGCGACACGTGCTTACCTGTAGATTTGTTGGACAAGGCACCCCTTTCTCCCTGGACCATTGGACGGCTACCTTACCTTGGTGTAGCTCAAAGGGCCGCAGTTTTTGTTCCATTGCTCTACAGACTAAAGACTACACTAGCAGGCCAGCCCACGTCTCGATGCAGTCACCATGCCGTTTCCCTTCCCAGGCCCAATATCGAAAGCGGTTGGTGTGTTGTCAGGTTGTCGGCGCCCGCCGCTGCCAATAGAAACGGCGGCTCCGCTTGGTAAAGGACGTTGGGGCCCTGAGGATTGCCGTTTCGGCATCTGCGACTACACCGAGGCCGGACCGGCAAGCTTACCAAGCGGGCTCTTAAAATACCATGTATTATGGAAGCAATCCACTGGCTGATGAGTGTATTCGTACAGAGTGGTACCGATAACATTGCGTCTCAGCCAGTCCCGTTCGTCCAGAACCACGGGAAAGAGATGCCAAAGACTTCCGACAAAGTGCTCGAAGGTTGGGGGAGTACGAACCCCTCATGTACCGCCAGTCCAAGCAAACAAACAAAAGTTCCAAGTTGAGAATTGCTCCGAAACAGACGCAAGATTGGGGGAGCAGACTTCCAGAGCCAAGTGACACAGTCTCAGAGACTCTTCATCCAGGATGGATGATTCCTGCTGCTTCCATGTGCCTCACATGTAAGTAATGCATGTGTGTCTGTATCATGCCCGACGACCCAACATTCGCAAAATACCTCTACGCCTGCGCCTCTTTCCTCTTTGGCCCTGCGAGTCAACAACACGCACTTACACGCCCCGGACCCTCAGGAGGAAACAGCACCGTTGAAAGCAAGCAGATTTGCAGTACCCCGAGGGTCCCGAACTACACCCTCAACAGCAAGCTCTTCCACCCTCGCAAAAACCTCGTCCGGGGTATCCAAACCCTCCTCTTTGCCTCTCAGGTACGCAATCAGACCCGTGACGTGCGGGACAGCCTGCGAGGTACCCGAGTACACCGTCGTGCCGTTGTCGAGCCCGAGCGAGCGCACCGCGACGCCCGGCGCAAACACCTCGACCAGGCTACCAAAGTTGGAAAAGGACGCCCGAGTCCGGTTCCAGTCCGCGGCCGCCACCGTAAAGGCGCGCGCCGCCCGCGCGGGCGACCGCTGGCTGGCGTCCTGATTCAGGTTGCCGGCCGACACGACAGTCGGGACACCCAGGTCGTAGGCTGCGTTGACCGCCTCGTCGAGGGCGGAGGCTGTTGTGCTTACTGGGAACCCTGCAGCAGCAAACCGGGGGAAGGTTGCGTGTTAGTCCATACTTCCAGGGGATACCCATTTCATGGCCGGCGGGCGTAATGTTGGCTTGCAATTGAATTTGGGGGTTTCTTACCGAGACTCATGCTGATGACGGACTTGGCGAGGCGACCAGGGGTGTCTGTGATGTTGTTGACGGCCCAGTTGTAGCCATCGAGGACCGTTGCGACGCTGCCGGTGCCCTGTGCCCGCAAGTTAGACTTATTAAACATGGAGTATTGATCAACAGCCACATTCTGAAAGCAATATCCTCCCGATTAGCAACCAGAGGTACAGACAGAGAACACTTACAATGCCAGCAAGGACTTTAACATCCACAACAGTCGCCTTCTTCGCGACCCCGTACGTCTGGGACCCAACAGTACCGGCAACGTGCGTGCCGTGCCCTCCAAAGTCATCAAACTCCTCGTCAGGCTGCGAACTGTACCCCTTCACAGCGTGGCCCGCGAAGTCAGGGTGGTACACCTGCACGCCCGTGTCCAGGATATACGCAAAGGAGCCCTCGCCAGCAGAGTCATCATAGGTATAAGGTTGACCGTCAGACGAGCTTGACAGTTGGTTCGGCGACGACAAACTCGCGAGACCCCACGGCGCGGCGTCCTGCGTGACGAGGGCGTCAATCTCCACAAGGCGGTTCGGCTCGACCGACGCCACGGCGCCCTCGACGTCGCCGCTGAGGATCTCGGCGAGTGTGGCCTCGTCAAAGGAGCCAGCGTAGGCGTTGAAGGCGCCGATGGAAAAGGTCTTGCTGATACCGCCTGTGGGAGTGTCGCGCCGCCGGCGGCTGTGCACGGAGGCGGCGCGGGCGAGGTGGGATTCGATTTGGGAGCGGGCGAGGCCCGGTTTCAGGGAGACGATGTACTCGCCCGGGATGATGCCGTCCGGGGCGACGGAGGCCGGTGCGGGAGCGGCTAGGGCACGGAGGCCCAGCGTGAGGAGGACTGCAGTTGCGCTGATGAAGGGCATTGTTCACTGGCTTTACTGGCAATCACATCAGCAGCTACCTACCACTTCCCTCATGTCTATCTCTACTTTTTATACTTGATCTAAATCGCAATCATTGCATTGATTCATTGTCTCTAAACATTCTATCATCGTATTCACGAGAGCCAAGACGAGCGCCTGTGGAGTTATCTGACTTCGAGCCTTCTCAAAATCGAAGGTCAAGACGGCGATGCAACCTCACCCGTACCTCGTAGACGCGCGAGCAAGGCATGAGCAGGGCATACGAGGCGGGCATGTTTCCCAATGAGGCATGTTGTAGCTGTGTTCGCCATTGAACGATGCAATTGCGATGCCCATGTTCAAGTCTTTTGCTTATCTCGTGGGGGGAAGCATTGACATCGTTGACGATTCAGCAGTCTACTTCCTCACTCATGTATGCTGGGCCTGAGGCGATGTTCTCCAAGTTTATCGCGTCTGTTACACCACAGACTGGTACGGACCGGAATGGAAAACGACCTTTGACTGCTCTTCCCCGTGAGGTGAATTCTGAGGATGAGAGAGAGAGGGAGAGACAAGACAATCACGGGAGCAGGAGGTAGTCTCCCTTGGCATGCAAGAGCGCGCTGCAGCTGCATGTTTCTGTCACCATTCCTCGTATCGCCCACGGGCAGGAGCACCAGTCGAGCAGGAGCAGAAGCAGGAGCCTGGGCACTGAACAGTTCAAGTTGCAGTAACAAGACGGGGAGAGCATGAGCCGGCATGATGACTGGACGCACGCGGCCCGTGTCGACGGCGTTGTGTCACTGCCAGGCGAGCATGCCCGGAGCAGAGAGTCTTGTCTTGCGGGAAGGGCCGTAGGGTGTAAGGTCAGTGGGCAAGCATGTAAGCTGTTGCCCTTTGGTGATCTGTGATTTGTGGTGTCTGTACTTCAATACCTTTAGTGAGGTACATACAGAAGTACCCAGGGTTGTATCTGAGCACTGACCAGATGTTCAGACCAAAGTATCGAAACGTTTTGTTGCCTTTCCCGGCGCTGTTCTTACCTTGCGGGTGGAAACACACACACAATTCCACTACTGTGTAGAAACCTGACAACTTCCCCCGCCTCACACTTTGCCCAATCCATTCGTCTCTCGCCGAGTTTCTGGACAGACACGGCCTGCGTCTCATCTGGCAAACAAAAGCCCATGTCTCGGCTTGATTCACCGCTTCGGCCATGTCAGCTGCGCCACATGCAATGTCCATCCTACCGGCCCGCTTCCGCTGTCTGAGGGGCTTGGATGCATTCGTCCATGGTCGTTGCCAGCAGTAGAGGAGGGGGGAACAAGGGACCACGGGGACCAATCCATTTTCAAAGACGAGACAAACACTCACCCACTCCTTGACCCTCCATCTCAGCCCTATGCGCCAGAGACCTCGAAGCATGGCTCTGGGTGGCCAGGAAAGCCTCCACTGGCCTTCCCTGGACTCACTGACCCAAGGGCTTGATCAGGGCGGCCTCCTCTCGAACCAGGAGCCCCCATGTATCCCACTGCATCTTGCGAATCTGCCTCAAGACTGCCTACATATCGCCTGCCTTAGCGCCGCTGCTCAGCCATCGTCCATCAAAAAAGTCACCCTCTGCTTCTTGAGATACTGCAAAGAAGCCATACCGACCCTTGATTGACGGCACCAATGTCTTCCCACAATGACGTTCGCTGCATCTATGCACCTTCTTTGCGTCTTCTTCAGCCCTACCATCCATGATCACGTACCGTGTTAATGCGATCATGGACTAATCAGAGGCCGTGGCCTACTCCACGCTGGTGTCTAGACTATCGCTTCTGCAGGCTAGTCACCGACTTCGACGAACGTCAGCCACCCGATGCACTCAAGTTTTCAAGGTCTGAGACGTGGGGCTCCGTCTGATCCTCTCTCTTCCCCCTGGAGGAACAACCGATTGGTGTTCCGGTTTCCTCGTACGCCTGGCGGCGCCTCTCCGGAAGATTCTGCCCTTCGCTGTGGCATGGGGCGGGAAGCGGATGTGTCAACTGCGAACACGGACCCGAATCTCACGGACGTGCAACCGGTTCCGGAGATATGGTTCGACCTAAAGCCCTCGACATCGAAACTGAGACCTCTGCGAACCGGTGGTGTTCGGGAGTGAGACTCTCCCATGGCTGCGAGGGGCAGCCAGCCAGTGGGCCTCGGCAGTGATTTGGATTTCTTTGTGATATTCCAAATCGACTACGAATGAAAGGCGTTGTATGCCAAGGACCCAGGAGAGCGGCTGACATGACCGTATCTTCCAAGTGGAATTTGCGATAGCCAGCTCGACGTAGGGACAGTGCAGAACCTCCCTACTATGCTTTCAGCCAGATCGACTAGGAAGCGTGTTCCGCCGCAGTCTTTGGAGGCTCCATTTCTGCACGTCACCAAGCATCAATGTCTCTCGGACATGTCCGCTGGCGATTCCCAGTATCGTGGGGAAGGGACGTCTCGGTATGGGGCCCCCATTCCCTTACACGTGCATCGTGATTTTATGCACAGCGACCCGCGGCTACTTCGATGGCACATTCAGTCTGTCAGGTACCAATCTACCATCGCGAGCTCCGATGCCAGAGGGGGGGTTCAAGTGCCATGGCGCAATGCCTCGCGAGGTGCCTTGTCCGGTCTACCTTCACTGCGAAATTCGGGCGACCGTTGGGCCAATCCCATCGGACAGGCCAATGCAGCTAAGCTGCATGTCAGAATGGAAGCGAGAGCATCGCTGGTACGGATTCCATCATGGCCCCAAAAGTTCCACTCGATGGCAGGCTGTGCTTACAGCCACCAGGGTCTGCCATGCTGGTGCTTGCAAGCTTGATTTCACAGACCACTGAGCTGGTCATCCAAACCTCCCTCGGGCCTTTTCCTGAGCTTCGGTACGTTGGCTATGATTTCATACGACTGCTCGATACCCAAGTATCTGGGTACTCCGAAACAGTCTGACTGATAGATGTGTCCATCGTGGAGTACCCCACGCGGTTGATCGCCCATACACACTGGCCGAAGCTGACCAGATTTAGACACCCGTATCTGTACATCACAAGCAGACAGCGAGAGACCTCAACTTGTCTGGACACCAGCACCGCCCACTCCCTTGCGTCCCTCCGCCTTACGGGGCTGGCCTGAGAACAAATCAAAGATCCCTGAGAAGACTAGCTGAGGATCGGTCGGTTACGGAACCCACCCTGGCCCGAGGAACTCAAGGCCTCGGCACGCCGTTTCCGCTGCGTCATTTGATTCTCGGCCTCGCCCGAGATTCCCAGGCTTCCGGGTACGGGAACTAAGCATCCTGATCTCCACGCCGTTCACGGTGTCACTGGTGTCGCCTCTCAAGGGTTCGTGGTGACTACATTCGTCACACCGGCGCTCTCGGCCGCTGGCATCCGGCCGCCCTGGTACCGCTTCCTTCACCCTCACACGACACAACATGAAGGACAAATCGTTTCTATTGTCCCAGGACCGATGAGCATAAACGCTCTTACACTTGTGGCGCTCACCCATTCATCGCTAAACGAGCTTTCTTTTGCTGTTTGCACGTACAAGAGGTTTGCGTCACCTGAAAGATCCAGAACGAGCCGCAGGTCCGATTTGGTGGACTACCGACGATCAGGTTCAACGATACGATTGAAACCACTCTTTTTTCTTTCGTAACGGCAATTATGCTGACGTCTTGGTAGGCAGGAGGATAAGGTAGGACAGATGGGTTAGGGACGTTGCTGTGCCGCATGACCGCAGAGCCGGGGCAGGGGTGGCCATCTCGTTGCCTTCTTTCTACTCCTTGTGAGACACGCAGCCGTCTCTTCTTACGAGCATCGCTAGCAGTTGTCACTTATTTTCGATCACGAAAAGAGCAAACGAGCAGCGACCATCAATATTATGATGCTAAGTCTATCACCCAGGGTAGCTTTTGCGGAGAATCGAATCGAGGCAAGCCCAGCGTTGATGCCTCTCAGTACACAACGCCACGGAAATGGTATGGATGCGCTCGAATTGTTCCATATGCCTGAATGGAAGGGAAACCCCTGGATGGAACGCCAGCGAGCTTGGCTGCAGCCATTCTGTTCCTTGACCCTTTTGAAACAATGCAGTTTGCGCCTCAGGGAAATGGAAAGGAGCGATTGTGAGCTCTAGGCCATCTACCTTTACTCATTGGCCCGATGGATGAGACGCCAGCTGGCCTGTCTCTTTCAGTTTGACGCCGGGGGGTTGACGTGACTGTTTGACTGGCCCAGTGTAGGTAATGTGCCTTGATTAATGGGACAAACATCATGCGAAGGCGGCGGCGCGGAGCGGATGCGCGGCGGGTGTTTCCCCTCATCTCTACAGGTCCCCGGGAGATCTTGTGGTCTATCCGGGTTGCATGCTGTGTCGAATGATGTTCGCTGCCAATAGCTTTTTCGTGGAAACGCCTTTGGGGGTCGGGAAGTTCATTTCCATCAGTAATAATTCTGTACGTATGATATGTGTGTCAGAGATGTTCTTTGGTGCTAGGCTGAGTGTGATGACAAAATGTGAGCCGCAGCCTTTCCCCTCGGACTACTCCTCTCGTCTCCTGCGTCGTGTTGAAACTGCTGCCATGTCCTCGTTTGGGTTTTGTAGTTGTATGGCCAGCCGCTTCCTCATGGTATATACGATGCTGAGGTCAGCGGGTTGTGGAAGGAATATATTATACATGGAAGATTATATTTCAATGTGTCGTTCGATGTTCTCGCCTATCAACTTATACCAAGATAGAGAGGGCTGAGAGTCGCTACCTGACCCCCCCTATTACCCCTGAAGAGGGCAGATGGTCCATATTGCACGGCTATCCATGTATCCTGAAACTCACATTCACTACTCCCTAGCCCACATTTTCTTCAGTGAAGAAACATAGACTCAAAGGGTCAGTCATGCTGAAGCCTTCCTCGTCCTCGTCATCATCCAACTTGACAGCCCGCCCCGGAATGGATAGTGACTGCCGTGGCTCTAGAAGGTCATCCCGACGGTCCCCTGGATACATAATCCATATTGGCGTATTTCTTTTGAATGAACCCGTGATAATGAAACACGTTCCAATTGGGGATTAGAAGAGAGAGAGCAGTTAATACCCCCCCCCCTCCCGGCAGGAAGGGATAGGTGGATTGAAGCAGCCTTTTCTCCTCTACTTGACACAAATCTGTGATGTTCAAAGAGACTGGAAACGGCCAAGCGTTTGTCTCGACGAGGTACAGAAAACCGATTTGCCGTTCCAAAAACTTTCTTCGCTTTTCCTACGTTTTCTTCCTGCTTAGAAAAAGTCTCGTTATCGAGTAGTAATTTGGAAGCGTAGTTCCGAGTGCTGCTCCTACAGTAAAGAAAATACCACCGTGGCGATGCGTGTTTTTCTTCTGATTATCCGTCTAAAGGCGTCTGGCCTCTTATGCCTGGAAGCGCTCATGATCTTGAGTAAGAGCCGGTCTATGTTTGGAGAGAGGGATTGCAAACCCCTTTCTTCCACAAAGATCACTTCCGGCCGTACAAGGGGTATATCTGAAGCAACATGACTATGATTGGTACCGTTCGCATCAATGTTCGATTTCCATGTCATGTAGGGCACAAGTACGCAGCCATGGTATCATTCACTCAACAAATCTTGCACAAGACCGCAACTTGATGCTCAGGTGAATGTGTCCTAACCGGTTCTCATTCTGGTATCATTTTCTAACAAAATACATGATTAAATCTTCCCGCTATGACACACGCGCTCCAAGACAGCCAGAAAGCATGCAATCGCTCTTTCGCTACTCCTACAAAGGAGGCAACTCTTCTCGGCAGATGGGACACTGCAACCTGAACCGCATCCAACCCTCCAGACACGCGCTATGGAAGATGTGCCTGCATGGCGTAACCATGTAATTCCTCCTCGTAAACACGCCAACGACCCCTCCGGCCGTCGGATCCTCCTCGCCCGCCCGCATGACGGGCACCTCGAGCACTTCACGGCAAATGGCGCAGTCAATGGCGCGTAGGTTACTCCCGCCGCTACTCTTCTTATCCTTCACGTCCTCGCCGCCGCTGCCCGACCTCACCCTCTCCAGAGACGGCGATCCCGGCTCCGAGAGCAGACCGATCGGCAGCCCGCCGGCCTCGACGCCGTCCTCGCGCAGGACTGGGTGGTAATCCCACGCGTCGGGGGTCCAGCTCTTTGGTATACCGAACCGCGGGCCGAGCACGTACTGGAACGCGAGGACCCAGAGCTGGATCCACAGCCACGCGCAAAAGACGAGGAACGCACGGCGGTCCGTTTCGGCAAAGAGGAAGTTGTTCTCGTAGACGTAGAAGTAGGCAAAGGGCAGCAGCCGCAGGACGGACTGGCCAATGACAAACTGCCATGTCAGCGCGCGGCGGCAGTTGCGGATGATGTTGCGGTGGATCTGCGGTACCCAGAAAGAGAAGTAGACGAGGGCCACGCTGTTGACGAAGAAGTTGCGCACGCGCGGGTACCAGGACGTGGAGGCGATGGAGACGAGGAGGATGAGGGACACGGTCATGGCGAAGCGGAATATGACGGACTGGAACGTGACCTCGGGCCTGATGCGATGGCCGCCGCCTGCGCCGGTGCCCGCTGTTGGCACGGCTGCCGCACCGCTTGTGGCGTCTGCGATCTCCGCGTCGATATCCTGATCCGAGGGGATGATGATCGGAGGCGAGGGTGCTCTTCTGCGAGGCCCTGCGGTGACGGGCCGCGGGAGGGAGTCCGCCTCGAGATCTTGCGCAGGCGTCGCCGGTGTGCGCGGCGAGTCATTGTCTGCGTTTTGCTGCTCCCTCTCGGCACGCCTCCTGTTCTCAGGCTCCTGCACTTTGTGAATTTCGGCCAAAAAGAAGCCACCGAGAGACATGGACAGGAACGCTGAAAAGAGGAGCGAAAGTGACTCCAGGTACGTGATACTCGCATCCAAAGCCCACATGGACGCCGCGGCGAAAATGCCACCGTCCACCATGACCATCATACTAATGGTCGAGTAGCTAATGCGACCCATCGTTGAGGGTGTAGCCGACTCCTTCATCTGCTGCTTGAGGAGGAGGGCCTGTGTGAGGATCACCATTGCGAAGAGGAGAATCCAAACCCGGATCTTGTGGTAGATAATCTCCGTCTTCATGCCTTGAAGATGCTGTCCATCAACGGGCGCGAAATCAGGCGGCCCTTTGGTCTCAAGGAAGAAGGCGCAGTCTGGGGACCAAATGACGGCTGAGAGTTGGAGCTCTGGGACGCCGCGAATGGGTGCGCCTTCTGGAAATCGTAATTCTTGCTCAATGTCGCTGATGATCCTTGCCATGCCCTCCCTGGTCGGATGAAAGCCCTTCATGTCTAAAAAGTTCCTGTCCGGTGGATGTACTTGGGCATACATGATGTACTCGCAATGCGGCGTCGGGTTGAGCGTATCCGGTGGGTTTGACAGATCTGAAGTCCACGGCATCACGCCATCGTTGAACACCTCCTTCTCCTTCCTGCGGAGCACTTCAGCTAGCGTCAGGTTGAGCAGCCGCTGGCTCGACTGGAAGAAGTCTAAGCTGGGCGCCAAATGCGGCAGACCAAAGATGCCGTCAAACTTCTCACTGGTCGTCGTCAACAGAATGGTCCCCTGACGAGGCCATTGGACACCGTGCAACCTCATTTCCCAATTGACGCCGCTGCCCTTGACATCCTCAATGGTAATGGATGCCTTTGCGCTGCGCACCTTGCCGCCGGACGAGAGACCCTCGTCGCCCTCGATGTCGCTGCGGTAGTCCAGCTCCCTCCCGTGCTTACCGGTGTCGACGAGGTCCATCAAAATCTTGCCCTCGTCTCCCGTGATGTTCCTGGCCCACTCCGACTGCGCGCCGCTCCAATGCAGGCTCGGCGTGATGGCGCTCAGGTTATAGTTCGTCCACTCCCTCATCGACGTCGCTTCCCTCCGGATCCAGGTCCCCTTGACCGCGCCAGTAGCGTTCTGCCACACCGGCTCTCCCTCTCCAATGTCCCACAGGTTCACCCCGCCGACGGGCGGTATCGCGTTGTGACTCCATTCCAAGCAGCGTTCCCGAAAGCGCTCGAGATCGTCCCAGGCGAAACCGTCTTCGGGGCGGAAGCCCGTCAGGTTGAGCGACCTAGGGAGCAGGTCCTTGGACGTGCCGTTCTCGCGCGGTGAAAAGTCGCCGTACGTCGAGGTGTTTAGGAGGTCGAGAGCGTGCTGGTGTCGTCGCAGACGCTGGATCGCCAGGTCCGAGGCGGAGAAGAGAGACGCGCCGCCATTGCCGGGGGAGAGGAGGATCCAGAAGACGCCGACGAAGGCGAGGGCGAGGAAGACGAGGCGCGGGTCTCGGTATGGACTGGGCATGGTGTGCGGCGTGCCTTGGGCCGCTTAACTCGGGGCCATCGCTCTACTGCTCTTGGCCGGCAGGTGTCGGATGTTGCAGGAAGCTTCGTTGGTCGAAAAATAAAGAGACGATTAAAAAATGCCTGTAGCGTAGTAATCGGGGGAAGGGTGACGATGTACGGATGAACTGAACACTGTAGACCAAAAAGTAACTTTGAAGGCGGATGACGGCATCAGCCAAGTCGCTGAAAGCGGACCGTTTGACGGCGCGACGGATACCGGAGCCTGGGGGTGCTTGAGTCGTCTTATCGCCTTAGGCAGGCCCCACTGGAGGGCGGATAGTTACCCGTCCCCTGGTGCTAGCGCTGCACGCCGCAGCAGACACCTTCCAGAGCTGGCCTCCGCGTGCGCATTTTGGCCCCTCCACATTGCATGTTTACTGGAACCAACAGCGCAAACACATTGAACCCCGCCAAACCTGGACCGCTCGCTTCATCTCTCATAACTCCCAGCCAGGCAACATCAAGGCTCACAACCCCACCGACGGTATCTCAAACGCAACCAGGACAAACTTGAACAATAACGTTAAGAGCTTTGCACACGGGTTCTACCTTTTACGAGTCAAAGCTTCTCTCGCAGATAAAAATGGCCTCCAACAACCCCGACTCGAGCGCAAACCAGTCTGCAGTCAGTTACTTCACCTTCCACTTGGCCTTTGGCACGTCGTCTGGCCTTCTTTAGACCCAGGGCGGCAAACAAAGTTATGCGCATGGTCTTCCAGAAACTAAGTCGGAGAATATCACAGATCTCAGAGGATCCCAAGACCGACGTCAACGCAGCCGTTGAAGAGCTTCTGAACACAATCTCTAACAAGTTCGCGGGCGTCTCAAGTGAGATCTTTGCAAAGAGTAAGTCTAGGAAGCCCCCGAGAAGAACAAGTTTATGCTGCTATTTCACGTACTAAAGCTACATAGTGGACGAAATGTCTCGCCGCCTGGACAACCTTGAGGCGGCTCTTCTAGCTAACAAGGAGAAGGACGCCGGCCCGTCCAAGTCGTCTTGAGTCCAAGTCTTAATGGCATACTTCACGAGGCAGGTGGTTCGCATGCCGATGGCGTTAGGGTTCAAGGGACAGCCTCACAGGAGCTACGTATGATGGTCGGTTTCCACGGGGCAGACTTGAGTTATACTTGGTATTGTTATTCATCATCATCGGTATCCTAGACTACCAATCCCAACTTGAGCTAAACACGCTCAGTTACATGTTGCTTGCTTTTCAACCTCCTAGAACTTCCCCAAACCCAGAGTTCAAGATGCGTCTAGAAACTTGCTGGTGGAGTTCACTACAACTCCTCCTTCTCACCGGTGACCTTCTCGAGGAACTTGCGGAGAATGTTGGTCTTGCTGGTGATCTCGTCACGCTTGGCAGGGGCGAGGCCACCCTTGGAGAGGATGCCATCGAGGCGCTTAAGCTCCTTCTGGGCGTAGCCGTCGCTCTTGCTGAGCTTGTCAAAGACGCGGACGTAGTACTCGGCGTACTTGTACTGGGCCTTCTCCTTGAGGGTCTCGGCCTGCTTCTTGGCCTCGGCGGCAGCGTCGGACAGGCTGGTGCCGCCAGTGTACTTGGCGACAATCTCGTCGAGGGAAGCAATGGTGCCGGCGATGGCGTTGAGAGCGCCACCGGGGCTGCGGTTGGTGCCGGCCTTCTCGTTGATGAAGTTGACGAAGTCCTCCTCGCTGCGGCCGCCGGTGTAGAGCTCGCCCTCCTTGGAGCCCTTGGGGAAGAACTTGATGGTGGGGTAGGAAGAAACGCCCTGGGCGGCGGCAGTGCCCTTGCTGTTCTCAGCCTCGGCATCAACCTTGGCGATTACGACACCCTCGTCGAGGACAAAGTCCTGGGCAACGGTCTCCCAGATAGGGGCGAGGGTCTTGCAGTCTGTCGAAGAAGTTCAGGTCAGCATTGTCGGCTAAGAACAAAGGGCATTATAAACTTGAGACTTACGTCCGCACCAAGGAGCAGTGAAGGCAATGAGAACGTCCTTGTCGCCGCCAATGGTGGTCTTGAAGGACTCGTCGGTGAGCATGTTAACGGCGCTGGGCGGAGTGTACTTCTTCTTGGGCTTGACACTGGTCTTCTCCGTGATGAAGGTGCTCAGGGCCTCAAGATCACGACCTCCCTTATAGTCGGTAGGCTGGTCGCTCTTGCCGTCGAACCACTTGAGAGTAGGGAATCCCTGAATCCCGAATCTCTTGCCTAGGTCTCTCTCGGCGTCGGCGTCCACCTTGGCAATCTGGACATCCTTGGAGGACTCGAAGGCAGTGGCAAGCTCCTCGTAGATGGGAGCAAGGTTCTTGCAGTGGCCACACCAGGGAGCAAAGAACTCGACAAGAGTGGGCTTGCCCGACTTGAGGACAACGTCGTCAAAGTTGGAGGGAATGAGGTCAAGCACGGCAGACTTGGCGGCAACGGTAGCTGCCAGAGCGCCGAGCACGAAGCTCTTGAGGACGACCATTGTTGCTTGATTGAATCGGACGAGGGGGAATAAAAAAGGCTATGTGGTATCTCGTCGAAGAAAAAGATATCAAGCTGCTGAAGAAGATATCAGCAGTCAGGAATAATGGTGGTGCAGACCGATGCTTTGAAATCAGCTGTTGAAGGAATTGGTAAAGAAGCCACTTTGCAGGTCGTCCCCCAACGTCACAGAAGAGCTCAGTCCCTTGTTACTTCTCCAACAAGCGGCGTTCCCAGGAGGGCCCCACCAGAAAGCAGGGGGGGCAAATCTTATCAACAGAGCTTATCGCCTATCTTATCTATATCACGTGCATCAGCAAAGCACGGACTTCCCCCAGAAGCGAAGGGGGCTCCAACCCACCCTGACCCAAGCCCCAGCAAAATACAGGCGCACAAAAATTTCCGTCAGACGTCCTCAATCCAACCACAGCCAAACCATCTCGAGTTTTCGCCGACCACCCTCTCGACGACACCGCCCACCCGCTCGACAACCGCCATCATGTCTCACGAGTCTGTCTGGAACTCCCGCCCCCGCAACTACGGCAAGGGCTCCCGCTCTTGGTACGAATAAAATCCCCTCTCTCAGCGAAGATTTTGGATGGAAAGAAAAGGAATCGGCAATATTGGAACGCGCGCGCTCGCGCAGAGACGCATAGAAAGGAAGCAGAAATGCTGACATTTTTACTTTCTATAGCCGTGTCTGCAAGCACACCGCCGGTCTCATCCGCAAGTACGACCTCAACCTGTGCCGTCAGTGCTTCCGTGAGAAGGCCAAGGACATCGGCTTCAACAAGGTATGCGAATTACACATAACCCTCCGGAACCTACGATCGACTATGGCCTGAGCCCCTCCCCCTCTCTCTAGCCATAATCATACAGAAAGCGCAAACCGCTAACACGAGGCTGCGATTCTACAGTACCGTTAAATTGTCCAAAACTCCGAGACGGCAAAGGATGGGAACTTGGTAAAGGTGGTTGGGCATAAGTGGCCTGTGGAAAAATGCATTCAGACAAGAGGGAAGGCTTCCAAGGGCAATTGGAGTTCTTATGGCTGGCTTAACGGAAAGTGCAAAAATCCGTCGGACGTCCAACTGAGGATAGACGAATACCACGACATTGAACCTTTTACCACCATCCAAAATCTTGGGGCCCTCAATATCAAGCAAAGAAAGACTGAGTTGAGCTGCGCGTGAAGACGGCACGACTCGCCTGTAGCTCGTGAAACCGCGCGACGCCTGGGTACCAAGCAGCTAGCTAGTATGGCCCTCCAAGTTATGGGGATGTAATTGATGACTCGAGGTTTATCAAGTAACACGATGACATATCAAGTGAGCATATACGCGTTGGAATTTGCCAGTAAAGTTGTTGTCATGTGGCACAAAGCACAGATTGTTCTATTGTCCGTCGTCTTCTAAAAGTACATGATTCAAAGACAAGGGGGTGAAGTAGAGCGGAGATCTTTGAGCCCAAGACCCGACAATATACACGAGCTCGAGGGCTCAAAGCGAAAAACTTTGGGTCGGTTGTACATGAAATCGTGAAGCAATCCAACTCCTTTTTTTTTGTACAATCCCAATTTTTTCACCATCCGGGTTCCCATTTCATATCGGGGAAGTTGTGTTTCTGGGTGCCGTTTCACCACCGGGTTTCGAGAGATTTTTCGGTGGGTGTCCCTTATTTCAGGATACGGGTAATGAGGCCGGTGGCGACGGTGCGGCCACCCTCACGGACGTTGAAGCGCTGGCCGACCTCGACGGCAGAGGGGTGGTGCAGCTGGGCAACCATCTCGACGTTGTCACCGGGCATGACCATCTTGTTCTTAGCGTCCTCGGTGCCCTCGGGGAAGGTGAGGGTGACGGACTCGTCGGCAGTACGGAGGTACATCTGGGGCTTGTAGTTCTCGTGGAAACCGGTGTGGCGGCCACCCTCATCCTTGGACAGGACGTAGAGGGAGACGAGGAAGCTGGAGTGGGCCTTGACGGTGCCGGGCTTGCAGACGACCATACCACGGCTAATATCCTCGCGCTTGATACCACGGAGGAGAAGACCGGAGTTGTCACCAGCACGGGACTCTTCGCAAGACTTCTTGAAGGTCTCGATATCAGTGACCTTGGACTTGATGATCTGGTCACCCTTGCCGACAATCTCGACCTCGGTATCCTTCTTCAGGAGACCACGCTCGACACGGCCGGAAACGACGGTACCACGACCAGAGATGGAGAAGACATCCTCGACGGACATGAGGAAGGGCTTCTCGAGGTCACGGGCAGGGGTGGGGATCCACTCATCGACGGCCTTGAGAAGCTCATCAATCTTCTCCTGGCCAATCTCGGGTCTCTGGTTCTGCATGGCCATGAGGGCGGAACCCATGATGACGGGGGTCTCGTCACCCTCGAAGCCGTAGGTGCTGAGAAGCTCACGCATCTCCATCTCGACGAGCTCCAACATCTCGGGGTCGTCGATGGCGTCGACCTTGTTGACGAAGACAACAATCTTCTGGACACCGACCTGGCGGGCAAGCAGCAAATGCTCACGGGTCTGGGGCATCTGACCGTCGGAGGCGGCAACGACGATGATGGCACCGTCCATGTTGGCGGCACCAGTAATCATGTTCTTAATGTAATCGGCGTGACCAGGGCAGTCGACGTGGGAGTAGTGGCGGTTGTCGGTCGAGTACTCGATGTGAGCAGTGGAGATGGTGATACCACGCTTGCGCTCCTCGGGAGCCTTGTCAATGGCGCCATACTCGAGGAAGTTGGCGAGGCCCTTCTCAGCCTGTCTCTTGGTGATGGCGGCGGACAGAGTGGTCTATTGTGAGGTTGGTCAGTATTTATCGCGCATTGGCACAATCCACCTCGGGTCCTGGTATGTACCTTTCCGTGATCGACGTGGCCAATAGTACCTGTAGAGGTTCCCCCAGATTAGCTACATTTTCCACGCATTGATCGTCCAGGTGCCCATACCAATGTTGACGTGAGGCTTTGTCCGCTCGTACACGGCGTATGTGCGGTAGACGTTGAGGATGGGGGAGACGTTCTGTCTCTTCAGAGCGGCCTGAAGGGGGCTAACGTTGCCCTGGCGCAGCGAAGCGCGCGCCGTCCGAAAGAACGGCGCAACGGATCTCAGTGAGGCGGACATTTTCGCAGGCTGTGGGTATTAAATAGTACAGTAGAAAGAGAGAAGAAGGAACAGAGAGGAGATGTACGATGAGATTGCTCGTTGTAGACAACGGCTTTTGTGATGGTGAGGTAGGGGGGGAAGGAGGTTGATGATGTATCGTCTGATGGGAGTCGGCGTCCTCGAAATTTTTTTGCTGCCGGGACATTCCTTTTCGACCAGGGAAGACGGGGGAGCTCTCTGCTGGAGCTCCTGCATCCATTGGCGGGCCGGTATGTCAGTGCTCTCCCCGGCCCCACCTCACGAGCCATTCACGTCGCGTCGCATCCCTTGAGTGCTGCTCCGGTAATGCGCGGGTCTTGACTGGCTGGGGCACATGTTAGGTCTTGCACGTCATGCAGATGGTGGTTTTGGCGCTTGAAGAATTGCACCGGCAGGACTTAGGAAACTGAAGAGCCTTGAAGACGTAGCTTCTTGTTTTCTTGATGTTGGTAGTAGACGTTAGTGTTGCTATGGGCAGCCTACCTATGAAGTTGGTGAACCCAGTAGGTCGCACCTCTGAGTTCCAGCGCCAGTCATGATTGCAATTCTGCTATATGCTACGACGCGAACCACTCTTGCACCTAAAGATCCAAGCGTGAGGGATACTCTTGTAGACATAGGAGCACGTCCACGGATATCACATTTGAACTACATTGCCATCATGCTCTTTCGAATAGGCTCGGCTGATTTCTCTTCTGCAGCGGAAAACGTCTGAAAGAGCACGCTCATGTCGATCTGGCTACCTATTGATTCATGACAATAGCTAGTCAGGCAGATAGCTCACTTATCACTCATCGCCGTCAGATCCAGACCCCGACTCACCACCATCGCCAGCACCCTCGCCGCCCCCATTCTTCCCCTCCTTCGCCTTGGCCCTCTTCCTCAGCTTCTTTAACCGGTTCAACCTCTTCTTCTTCTCCTTCAGTGCCTCCTCCTTACCCGCCTTGAACTTCTCCAGCTCCTCCGCCTTCTTCACCCTCTCCCGCTGCTTGACCCGTATCGCAAGACGCTTCTTCTTCCCAGGCCGCCTCCTCCTCGCCGCCGCGGCGTCGGCCTCCTCTTTTGTTTCTCCAACGTCTCCTGCTGCTGTTCCCGCTGTCCCTTTTGACGACACCGTGATCCCAGGAATCGTCGTCACCCGCCAAGGCTGCTCCATACCCCACCACCGCCTCTGCGCCCTCTCGAGAACCTCCTCGCCCGACACCGCCGCGAACGCGAGTTCCGCTTTCACTTCGGGCGTCGGCTCCCCGGCGATGTAGTACGACAGCGGCCTCTTGCGGATCATGGCTCCGTCGCCCGCCATCGCGCGCTCGTCCTCGTCGACCAGCGCAATCTTTGTCGCCGGGTTCGATGTGGTGAAAAGCCGGAACTCAAACTCTTCGGGCTCGTCTTCTCCACCGCCATTCCCGCCCGTCTCTCCATCCGTCGCCGTCGCTGGTTGCTCGGTCATTTCTGTCGGGGCCTGGTCGGCGTCGGCGTCGCCTAGGTCGAGCATGCCCGCCATACGGGCATGCAGCTTCGCTAGGAGGTCCGCATTCTGCTGCTCGTCGTGGTCCGCTCCTTCGTCGCCGGACGACTCCCCGAGGTCTTGTCGCCGGACTCTGTTTTGCGCCAAGTTCTGGTCAGCGCTGCTGCCGTCGCAGGTGATCACAGGAGAGGGAATGGTTGCGCCTCACCTCTTCGCGTCAGGAAGTTCAAACATGGCTGCGTATTCCTCGTCCGGAGGTGGTGATCACGTAAGACGGCACCGGAAAGGTGCTCTGGCACGTTGTGACGTTGTGGCGCCAGACGAGTGAATACGAAGAGAGAGAAAGAGAGAGAGAGAGAGTGAGTGAATTGCAACCCACCCGGCCGTAAATTTCGATCGCCGAGTCCCCGTGCAAAGCTGAAGACAAAAAACTGGCGAGAGAGCAACTTCAGTGAGACCGGTGCTATGTGGAGTTCTGAGCACGGGACGGAAGGTTGCAATGTGATGGACGGCAGGCGGGCTGACCGGTAGAATTTCGCCCGACCGCGGAGCCGTTGAATTGAGATTTTCGCTCGCTAAAGTAGGAGCGTCGAACCTTATCTTATCGCGCCGTCGTCCTCACACTCATGCTACCTTACTTGGGTTGGAGTTGCAGGGTATCCGTACAAACGGGTACGAGTAAGTGAACACAAGGAATGAGCTTCGCTCTAGACACCATTCATTCAGAAATTTGCGAGCAAGTACGAATACGGAGTACATACATACGAACCACTAGATATTGAACGGAACTGTTATGCAAGCGGGCGGTCAATTAGCTTCATGGCCGAAGATCAGCGATTGACGCTGCATCATTACCACCAACCGGGTTCTCAAGTACACATTGCCTACAACGGAGCTTCTTGAACCCGATACTCAATATTCGGGTAGTTAACCACGGACACCACAATCCTCTTTTCCTTTGTTAGTCGTAAATGCATCGACTGCCTCAGGTCATTCTCATACAACTCGAAGCAATCTCTTCTCCACCCCACAAAGGTAAGTATTCAACAACCGCACCGTGCAAACCCCACCCAATTTGTACCCAATACGTCAAACCAGACACATCTTCCCAAAGTTCCCACGTTCCCATCCCCCCTCCATCCCAAACGTCTGTCTGACCTCTATTAATACCTCCTCAATACAAAACATGACAGCCCTCTCAACATCAGACTCCCTGCCTGCCCAGTGTCCGCCGTCAGCTCGTCAACCGAGCACCACTCCAGCAAGCCACCGGACAAGGAGGTGTGGGGTTTGATGTACGAACACACCATGGGACGGTGGGAGAGAAAGCAAAAGTGACAGTCGGAAACATAACGTGGGAAAGCAAGGGGTGGGATGAAAAGGCGGGCCGACCTGGGTTCAAACAACGTGGGAAAGTATCCGTAAACGCGCCAGCGGAGTCTTCCACCTTTGCCCCCCTCTCTCTACGTACCTCCTGATACTTTGTTCTCGCACTCTCGCAGTCTAATTATCATCTCCCGTTTCTATGCTAAGATAGGTACTCCGTAGAGGGAATGGGAGGGGGGGATCATCGTCATTCCTACCCAGCTGCTCGGGTCCCCGTACATGCCACCATCCCCCCTCCTGCTCCTTCCATTGCGTACGCCTGTCATAGTATCCGGTACATTTCTGCCCCAACAGTTCCATCTCATGCCCTCCTCCTCCGCCTCCTCAGCGACGCATCCCAATCCTCCTACCAGCTTGCCAGCCAACCTACACTTGCGCCGCGTCCGTACATGCATGCATGAAACGGCACGCGCACACACACCTACGAGGATCCCACGCGCCCAGCAGTAGGCTGAACGCAAGCCTCCCAGCAAGAGGCCCGAACCGGGCATCACCCGCGTCTCGCCCTGCGTTGCGTGGGTTACGTGGGTTGCGTAAGTGAAAATGGCAAGATACCTTACCTTACCTACCGCAGTACCTACCTAAGGTATGCCAGCGTATCACAGCATTTGGTATGTAGTATTGGTTGGTGGTTGGTGGTGGGCTAACATCAAAGAATACGACTCCAATTCCATAACCAAGGACAAAAAAAAAAAGGATCCAACAAACATCCCACCAAAAGTACCATCTTTGCTCTCTTCTCTCAAAGCGGTCAAGTCTCTGTGGATTCTCATCACGAAGGATTCGGGGCTAGATGAACCAAAGTGACAGAAAACCAACCCATTCGTATTCTCTTCCCTCCTTCTGGACTCCCAACGGCCTCCCCCTCCCTTTCTTGCTGTCTCTCTCTCTCTCGCGCGCGCGCTCTCCCTCTCTGTCTTTCACTCGCCAAGCCGGCGCCATTCTGCGTCATCAGGACTCACTTGCGCTGTTATGCTGTACAAACATAAAGATCAGACAGATGTACGGACATACCTAATACAGAGAGAAAAAAGGCTTTTGCTTTCTTCCCGCCCAAGCCGCACTCATTCCGTCCTCTCCCAAGCACCAGCGCCAACGCACCACTAGGACCCCCCCCCCCCTTTCTCCCCCCATCGCACTATTGGCATCACAAATTCCCAGCTGAGCGGGCCTGCCGCAGTGGCCCGCCCGCACCTTTTAGACTCGTGCGTAACGACAAGTACAACTAGCCAAGGTGTGATCGTGTATGTGTGTGTGGGACGTGGGATCGTAGACGCCGCGCCGAACGGTGGTGGTGGTGGTGGTGGTAATCTCCCTCATAGAATATGAACAGAGATGGTCAGACACCTTATACAACCCAGTAGGTGACTGCTAGGAAGAAGGGGGGTGGAGAGGTCAAAGGTCCCAGGTCCAAGGTACCAATCCAACCCAACCAAAGTCGGTGGCTGATTTCCCAATGTTTGTATGCGTCGTGTGAGCGTTTACGCACCAACAGTCAAGGTAGGTTGGCTTGGTGGACCAAACACATAAAGGACCCGCGTGCCCGGTGTCCGTATCCGTCTCTCTGTTCATTGTGAACCACCAAACTATTTCGAATACGAGCTCTGGGGGGTCACCCCCAATCAAGACACCGGAACTTGGATGAGAAGACGGAAGAATCAACGTCGGGTTTTGGGGCTGGAATGGATGCTTGTTCATTGCCTATTTGCTTGCTTGCGCATTTTTCTGGCCTATTTTCTCGCCTCTTGCACTCTTTCTTACTATTTCTTCTCTCTCCCTTTTCCACAAACCGTCTCTTTCCTCATTCTCTAACGAAACAAAAACACAAAAAATCTTCATCAAGAGTCCGAGAAACCACGCCCAGAAGAACGCCACCACGTTGGGCGGACGTCCAGCCAACCAGCATTCAACCGCCGTCCGTTTCCACACCGCCGGTGCCTTCCCATGCGAGGACCCAACCGTTTGGTTCCGTCCCGGGTAAATCAGACGAACTCTCTCCGAGGTGTGGGTGGCGGGACCCAACCACACGGTTGGGACAAGGCTACCAGCCCAGGACCATCTCACTTTGGACGTCATCCCATCCTCGAGGCTGAGCCCTTTGTGGCTTTGTCCTTTTTCTTTCCCCCAATATCCTTCTTTCTCACAGGCAACACAATTTGCCAACGTTGATGCATTCGGAACCAAGGATGCCGAGTAAAGACCACAATGCCTTTCATTGCTTTCCCTGTCCGGTACCCGGCGCTCAACAAAAACCAAGAAATACCATACATATCGTTAAGTAACCCGCGCACACAATGTCGCAGCACGGCCCGGAGCCGGTGATAGAAGCGTCCGGCCGGAGCATTCGACGTCAATGCTATCCTCCGTGTGGTATCGAAATGCCCAGCCACCCAGACAATGCCCGTCTCTTGACGCCGACCTCGACCATGTCGTTGCTGCGCCTACCCAAATTATGCTCGGGTCCGGTCTGTCATGAGACCTTGTAAAAAAAAGAGAAAAAAAACCACGCCCATGCCGAGCAGAGCCAAAAATGGCAACCGCCAGAGGGAAACCTCCTTTGCCGTGGGATATGCCGTATTCCAATCGGTGTAAATCCCCCACCTCGACAGCGCTCCAGAATCGAAATATCGCGCCTAGGTACTTCAAGATAAAAAGTCGAATCCGAACCGCAATCACTCTTCTGGCCACGAATTGAAGTTTTAGTGGTACACAGTCAGGGCTGTTATGCCAGGCCCGGAAACAAGTTCGGCCCTCAAATCTTGCTTCTCTCAGCTCAAGCATCGTTCGGCCCGACCTATTATCGCCCCTCATGTTTGGAGACAAGTGGCGTGACCCAGCCGCCAATCAGTAATTCTCGCAGCTAATTAGTGTTCCAGGAATAATGGTTCATGCCATCAAATGATCCCCGGTGGGCGCTGCTGTATGACCCAGGGGCTGGCGGGGCGGGAGCATGCTCCTGCTTGGTGGTTGGCGCAGAGCCTCCGCTTGAGTATTGTTCAGGGAAGCCATACGGCCTTGCCTCGCTGCTGCTGTACGCAACAGTCGAGGCAGGCTCTCCAGCTGTTGTCGTCCATGAACTCGAGGGCGGGTAGTAGTCTCGAGAGGGGTTGGAGTGCGACGCGGAGGCTTCGGGCTTGTAGGACGGCGGTGCAATTTCACTGGGGTTGTTGCCCACTGCTCCGTACGACGAGCCGTACCGATACTCCGGGGATGCCTCGTGATGAGACATCGACCCGATGGAAGGCTGGCTTGCATGCCTTGGGCTCTTGGTAGGTCGGGGGTTGTCGACGTATCTAGGCACGTTGAGCGCATTGTCTGAGCTCGATGCCATTGCCGTGGCCGATACTGATAGTGGTGGCGGAGCGGTTGTGCTTTGCACATAAGCGTATTGTGTTCTGATCGGAGGCTGCTGCTGTTCGTTGGCAACCAGGGAAAGCTGGACGGAAGGCATCGACGTTTGCAAAGGCATGTCATGGGCTTCTCCACCGAAGCTTGCACTTCCCGGCAGAGCAACCTTGTGGTAGGATTCTCCCATCGTCGTTGCCGGGTAGCTTGCCGAGCCAGCCGGGGGTAGTTGTGGCATTCCGGGCACGGAATTCGAGGAGGACCAGTTGGGGTATGAGCTACGATGGGTCAGTAACCGGGCTCCGTATGACAGCAATGTCGATCAAGTGATGGACATGTACTCTGGACGGAAGGGGGGTTTAGCTTACTTGGATCTCATGGCTCCCATGGGTGCTCCCGGCATCTTGGGCCCTCCTGCGTTGAAGGTGAAAGCGGAACGAGGCATCTGCATATCTAACCCTCTTGCCTTGGCATCCTGCGGCTTGATGGCCAACGGTCCCGCCACAATACCCAGTCCAGTCTCAACCAAGGCCTGGCCCCTGGAGCCAGCACTCGATCCTAGCAGGGGAATTTCCTTTCTTGCCTGGAAGTTGCGAGGGCTGCGGCCTCGGACAACAATAGGTGCGGTAGTCGCTTCAGTAAGCACAATCTTGCTTCCGTTGGCCAACGTCCCGACAACCTTGAGGTGGAGCACAAAGTGTTGCTGGAGTTCCTTTCGCCGCCCGTTGTTTGCGGTAGCACTTTATCAAGTCAGTCGAGATTCGTCACGTCTGCGCAAGTGCGCCCGTTTCGGGTTGTTACTCACATTCTGAACTGCAGTCGGCGCCAGCCAATGGGGTAAACGGCATACTCGCCATCGGATTCCGAACCGTCTTCTTGGAAGGGAATCAGGGGAAGCGACGCTGGCTCCTGGTCTGGGGTTTGTGTGATCTCGGGAGAGTTGGGCGGGGGCGTCTTCCAGGGGATGACAATGAGTCGGACGGGGTGGCCATCGACAGACTCGATGGCAGAGATGGTCACTTCAGTGTTGCTGACGGGGACAGTCTCGCCAGTCTCAGATATGACAGAGAGCTGGCCTCGCGGGGTGATGAGAGAGCCGCTAATCTGGAAGAGGTTTCGTCGGTAGCAGGTCAGCTCGGGCTGGAGGATGGAACCGTCGGTGCTGTTGGCTGGCATTTCGGAAAGGAAGAACATTCCGTGCAGCTGGGCAGAGAGCTCCAGCTGCTGCATGCGTCCATGCTGGTCGACAATAGTATGCTTGTCTTGGACCCTCTTGAATGACAGCAGCTTGTGGTCGTGGTTGACGGTAAGTTTGGAGCCATCGTCTCTAAGGTCCTGGACAATTTCCTGGTAAGGGGGCTGTTCGGTTTGCGAGTAGGGTCTCTTGAGGTTGGGGAAGCTGTGGTGGGACGTCAAGCTGGGATGCGCATGTCTGTCGTACGCATCGGACTCGTCTTGGGGGTAGCGACCATAGGGATAAGATCCGTGGTCTACACTCGGGTGGGTGCTTCTAGGGCGTCCCGCGTGTGGTGAGTTGGCGGCGTGGCCTCCAAGGCCGGAATCCAGGCTGTTGTTGAATCGAGACGACATTTGGACGGGACTCCCATAGTTCGACCAAAGATTGGTATGTGCCGGCTCTTTCAGCTCTGCCATGACGGGGTAAGTGACCGTGGTTGACATTAGAGCATGCCTCTCTGGTGCGCTGTAGTCCTATTCCAGACCCAAGCGCGCCTCAGTCACTCTTCTTCTTGTTCTTCTTTCTCTGTCTCTTGTCTCCGTGTGTATTTTACACAAGGATATGTCGAGGTCCTTGCTAGGTAGTCAACAAGGGCATGTACGTTGTTGATGTAAGTCGTCTTGACCAAAAGAGGTTGGGTTGGCAAAGTGAAGGGGAGGATGAGCGAGTGTGTTATTTGATCTCGAGGAGTGCTGGCGAAGACTCGAGAGATGCAGAAGATGCAGAAGATGCAAAGATGAAGTTGAGGATCAACGGACGACGGTCATGTTTAAGGTTGCAGGGAGAGATGTATACTTGTATCTGATGGGGTGGATGGGTCGCAAGAGGACGGTAGATGTTGGAGGGGGTGTCTGATGAAAATCTTCGGCACTGTTCTGGGGTGGATACAATGATGGGGCAGGGCTGGGGGAGGCCAGCCAAGGCAAGGTCGAGGTTCAAGGTCAAGGTTGCGTCGAGTCGAGTCGGAGTCGAGTCGAGCAGCAAGTTGATGTCTCAACGGGATGTTCCTCTTGCTGGGCCGTTGACCTGTGCCTTCTTCAGCGGCAGCGGCAAAGGCAAGGTCACCGGTACAACGTGACGGCGGGTTCTTGAACAGGACGGTCAGTGCATGCAACCATACTGGGAAGGAGGAAGGTGAGGAGCGGGCGATCTGGTGAGCGGAAGAACAAGGCATGCTATGGAGCTACGACGATGGAGTATGGATGCGCCCTGCAGAGCGGCGACCAGGTTTAAAGAAATACCCTTCTTAGAAGGCGGCGCTATGGGAAAGGGAAGGGAAGGGAAGGGGGCACGCAGCACGCAGCACGCAGAAGCAGCAGCACGCAGGCCGTCGTAAACCCAGACTCGCAGGCTGGCAGAC